CGCAGCCCGTACGAGCCACGCGCGGGCCTGGCGCAGCCCGTACGGGCCGCGCGCGGGCCTGGCGCAGCCCGTACGGGCCGCGCGCAGGCCTGGCGCAGCCCGTACGGGCCGCGCGCCGGCTGTACGGGCCGCGCGCAGGCCACGACGGGCGACGGGGGGCGACGCGCGGGTCCCCGTCGCCCGTCGCAGCGCCTCCCGGGGGCGACGCGCCGAGTGACGGGGCAGAAACCCGCCGCGCGCCTCGGGGCACACGGCGGGCAGAGAACCGCCGCACGCCTCGGGGCGCACGGCGGGCTGAAAACCCTAATTTCGATGTGGCGCGCGGCGGACAGGGAGTAGCAGTAGCAGCGGAAGCAGTGAAGTGGGCCCACAGGCCAGGAACGTTAAGCTCTGATACCATGTCAAAATAGTATGTAGTGTTAGGAGCCATAGCTAGGAGAGTCCTAGCTAGGCAAGAGACAGTTTAGGCAAAAGAAGAGGGTTTTCACTAGCAGCAATGAGGATACATATAGCAAACCCTAGATGGGTTGTACTCGCTACAGAGCACCCCACTACAGGCTAGAGAATAACATTCTGACAATCGGGACGCGTTTACCCAGGAAACTTGCGCGCCGAAATCGATCACTGTGGAGCCATCTTCGCCCCCGTAGCCGGAGTTGATAACGGCTGCGATGGGGATTTCAGGTTCCTTGAGTTTTACAAAGCCACCGTAGTAACCGTCGAGATCACCATCGTCTCTGTGGGAGGGAGGAAAGAGGGGAAGAAGAGGGGGGGAAGAGATCACATGCGCTTTCATTCAAGGGTCTTTGAGCTTCCCAAAGCCTCGGTAGTAACTGTCGAGATAGCCGTCATCTCTGCGGGAGGGAGGAAACTGCAATTGCTATGCAAACGGGTGTAGGATTTTCAGTAATGAGTAAGAAGCAAGGTGCACATCATAACCATGAGGACGCACAAAGTAGAAAAGGAAAAGACAAGCGCACCTCATATAAACGAGGATGGAAATGAAGCCGAAGGCATGGTCCTCCCCAATCTTGTTCCCCTTGGAGTCTCTTCCCCTCATAACACACATTATAGCCGCTGCAGGGCGGTTAAAAACAGGGAGTTGGGTGGGAGACGGGGAGCAGAGCTCAATGCCTTGGCATTCACATAAGAACACTATAAGGGAGGCTTTAATTACCACGTCACACCTGCTCAATGCGGAAAGATTAGTGTCTCAGAACCATAGGTCTCACACACTTAGACCACTTAATGGAAGAGGATGGGGGGGAAACGGGGGGAGAGAAGCTACTCTTTGTGTGTGAATCGCACGGCTTGCTATGCAAGCCAGTGTGACGCAAGATCAGTGTGACGCAGGCCAATGTTACGCAGGCCAATGTGAGCCGACTTACTGTGCAAGCCGAGGTAATTGGTCATCTTATCAGCAGATTGCTTGGCGGCGTAACTTCTTGCTTCAGTCCGCATCCGATTCATCCGAAGCTGCTTCAGCTTCTCCTGAAATCCCCTGTAATACGCGTTGCTCTGTAAGCCCGCTATAACCTTTTCCAACCCTTCTTGTAACGGGTTAGCCGCTGCATTCACGGGTGCTGCAAGGGGGAATGGGAGGAGAGGCGAGGTGGGAATCGGATGGGTTGACAGCTCCAATACTGCAGGGTTGATAGCTGCGCATTAGCCGAGCGATAACCGCACGATACCCGCGGAATAGCCGCGCCTGCACTAGCCGCGCGACCAGCCGCGCGTTGACTGCGCAACAACCGCGTCTTACCCGCGCACGGCGTAGACAGCTCTATAACCTCGCTTGCACGCTACAAGTGTAAAGAGACATCGCGTGACAGTCGTATCAATGAGAGGCGGGCGGCGACGGCGACGGCGACGGAGTCGGAGACGGAGACGGAGACGGAGACGGAAACGGGGACGGAGACGAACACGAGGCGAGACGTTTCGAAACTCGGACTCGAAATTCTCTAGAAGACATAGAACGACGGAAACAGAGACGATTTTTCAGGCGCCTCGAGAATAGACAATGAGAGGCGGACTCACAAGTCGCGAGAAGGCATAAAGCGGCGACGGTGACGGAGACAAGCACGAGGCGCCTCATGCTGGTGCGGCGCGATGCTGAACGGAGGCACCCAATGTCGTGACGAGGGACGAAAGAGATTTCTAACAGTAACGAAAAAAGGTTCTACTGATTAGTTGCGCCCTCGGGCGAATTAAAAAGAGAGAAGTAGCAGCTTATATATTCGTGAGTGATTGCGCGCACGGGACGAGTCACAAAAATCGGGGATAAAGAGACGCCGTACAAACGGTACTTTACGTGCTATGTGCTGCGGCGGTTCGGAAATGCGAAGAAAGAAACGAAGTGAGCCGTGAAGGAGACAGCGGTCCTGCTGTTAGCCGTGAGCACCAGTCTTGATACGTTACCACATCGCACGCTCTGATCTGAACCACCACGGCAAGACTCTTCCTGTGCGCTGGTCTGGGTCTGCTCGCTCAATGGGCAAGATAACTGGAGGGGGCTGGACGATCTAGTGTGTCAATGGCAGCGCCAGTGGGTTGCTGGTCGTACAACCCACGTTGTGTTTAGGCGGCGCGAGTAATTAACCAACCCTTGGCAACAATACGAGTTGTAGGCTTGGATGAGATAAGGGTATATTCCTACCTTGTGTCATGACATCAGGTCAAGCATTTGGAGCCCCACTTTGGGTCCTCCGAGCCAAACGTTGGGTCTACGACTGTCAATTTGCAACAGTGCTACACGATCTGCTTGCGATCGTGATCTTGTTGCTTTGAGACAAATTGCGTCAATTTGCGACAACTCGCCAGCTCGTGCATCCGAAACGTAGCGGCAACACGAGGCACGTGTTTCCCTTGGGAAAATTTACAGACGTGCAAATTTGCAGGAGCGCACTGCCTTGCCAACAACCTTCCCAAACCACATGCAACGCCAAACACATTCTGCCGCAAGGACGAACTTCTCTCACCACCACTTCATCCGTATATACACAAAGCAAAAGCACAAACAGAAAGCTCAAGCGCTGTTATGGCTTCCCTTCAAGGTCCCACCTTGATTCTAGCAATGGTAGCTCTGCTGTTCATTGTCTACTTTTTCCAATGTCAAAACGCGACGATACAACACGGGGCGCTTTGGTTAGAGCGAACGCAGGCCATCCGTAAAGCGCGGCGACTGTCTTAGGCGAGAGGAACGAAGCCAATAAGTAAAGCGCGCCGCGAACAAGTGAGGAAGCGTCGTCGTGCGACTGCTAGGCAATGGGCTCAAGAGATAAGCGACATGCCCGACAGGGACTTTGTAAACTTGTTCCGCATCTCCAAATCTGTTCTTCGCGTAATAGCCGACGGCATGCAAGAGGCGTTTGCACCTATAGTGGTGCGCCATGGCATACCCGTGGAGGTTTGCTGCCTGATACCGATCAAATACTTCGCTACAGCAATGTCTTACCTAGACATGTCCTATTACTTTGGCGTGAATAAAACATTGTGCCATGCGATCGTGGACATTTTCCTAGTGGAGTTTCCTAACGTTTTTAAGGCAGCATGGGTTCGATGGCCAACACGGACAGAGATGGAAGAGTGGGCAGAGGAGTTTAGGGATATTAAGAGAGTGCCAAATGTGATAGGTGCGGTTGATGGCTCACACATACACGTGCAAGGCATGGACGACCACCGTTCAGAGTATTTTAATCGAAAACAATCATACAGTGTCGTGCTCCAGGCTTGTTGCAACGCGCGAGGTGTGATTTTTGATTACTATGTAGGTATGCCTGGTGCATCTCATGACTACCGTGTATTCAAACGAAGCTCACTGTATGAGCGTGCGGAGAGGGGGGATTTAGCGCCGTTTCAGATTGTAGGAGACGCGGCATACCCTCTCCGCGAGTATTGCTTAACCCCTTTGCATGCTACGACCAAGCGTCTCATGAAGGAATGGGAGCAAACCTACAACACGGTGCAGAGCTCGACGCGGATGGCCATTGAGCGTGCGTTTGGTGCTTTGAAACAACGATGGAGGTTGTTCTCCGGTCGGAGCGAGTGTCACATATGGCGTGTATGTGCGGGAACGGCATGTGTGATTATCTTGCACAACATGATAACTACATTAGACGAAAAGCGCACACGACATGTTGACCCTGAAGATATGCTACCTAATGGCGACATAAACGACTGGCGGAACCGCGAAGGCATGAGAGACTACAAATGGTGCGCTACTCCTAACTCAACATCTGAAGAGCTAGATGATCGGCGAAAGCATTTTGGTCACGCGATTCAGAAAGCATACGAGAGGCGCTATGCGAACTAAGGTGAGCAAAATCCAACTACTCTAACACATTCGAATCTCAGTTAGCACACCTTCTCATTCCTGTTGCTCTGATTCCGCTGTGGCAGGTTCATCACATTGAACTGGACTCGAATGAGGATGCGTTGCCGTGGATGCGTTGGCGGGGCGCACGGGCGGCGGACCCATGTTGCGAATGCCGATGGCTTGAGGAGGCTTCGTCGGTGGGGGTGCAAAGGGTGGCGGTGCCGCTGCACCACCCATAATAGCATTGGTTGCGGCATGAATCCCTATTGCCTGCACAATCACGAGGATTAGTTGATCAATCTTCGCAACCCCGATGGCATTGTACTCCCGCATAGTAGTGCACACCATGGTTGCCTCTGTTGGAAATGAACACTGGAATGGCCCGAAGTTGTCTCCCAAGGGCTACAGGTGTCGTCTTGGGAGGGTATGGGTGCGCTGACCCACCAAGTAAACATGCCCTTTTAGCCCAGTTGGTTAGCGAACTGGACATGGTGGAGAAGTGGGGTACACGACCCGGGTTCGATTCCTGTTGTTGGCAGATTTTCCTGTGCCCTAGTGGTGCGCCCTCCCAGTGAGGGGAGTGTTGGAAATGGACACTGGAATGGCCCGAAGTTGTCTCCCAAGGGCTACAAGTGTCGTCCTGGGAGAGTATGGGTGCGTTGACCCACCAAGTAAGCATGCCCTTTTAGCCCACTTGGTTAGCGAACTGGACAGCCTCATACATCATGGGCGGGGGTGCAGCATTGCGCCGTGGCTGGCCGCGTGGTGTTGCCCTTGGGTTCTGGACATTGTCGCCAGCAACGCCTTCCTGGTTTTCTCCTGCCGTTAGAACGAAAATGAGTGTCAGAAAGATTGCAATGTTATTACATCTTTACCTTGTTATGTCAATCTTTCACCACGATGCAACGTGAGCAATGGTATGTGTATCAGCACCTGCCGTCGATGCAAAAGACGTGGACGGTCGTGGAATGGCCGTCCTTTCCGCGTTCAGGTTATCCGCACCACCGCGTTCAGGTTATCCGCACCACCGCGGTCCTCGACGTGAGGGTTGACCGCGGCCGTATGACGCTTCAAGTCATCCATGAACTGAAACCACGGGGGTAGCGTGATGTTCCCGTTGCCCGAGCGCCCAAGCGCCTCGCATATCTCCCTATACTCAGTTTCCATCCGCTTCCAGCACTGCTTCATTGATTCGCTTCGACGGTTCCATCCAGGGGACGCTTTGCGCATGTGCTGGCGTAATTTCTTCCAGAACTGCGCGCCTTGTTTCCCTTGCATTTTCTTAACATCCTCTTTGGAATACCATCGTGCAGCAGCCAGCGCTGTCATCTCGTCCATGGTCCAAAGCGAGCGCTTATGCTTCTTCTTCTTTCGCCTCAGGCGGCTCTTACCGCGTCCACGCTTGTCAGTGGGCTGGCTCTCACCGTCAGAGGAGCTATCTGCCATGTCGGTGTCACTGTCGGTAGGAGACAAGGATTTGTAGCTACTGGAGTCGTCATTCTCGACCATTCGCGAACTGCTGGGGCCGGCAGCCATGGAGGGCGCGCTGGAAGGGCCGGGGGAGGGGTCAGGGCGCTCGGGGGTGGGGTTGCAAGCTTCACGACGAATGCGGCCCTTATCCTTGCCTGAGGCCTGTTGCTCACGCATCCAGGTGATGTAAGGATGTTCCTGGGGAGACTCGTCGTCGTCGTCGGTCGCCTTCTCCTTGCCCTTGCGACTGTATTTCCGTGGAGCCATGACGCTAAACCGTGAAGGTCTGTGGAAGCTTGAAAGCGTGAGCTGGAACAACAAACATGCCTCGATTTGTAGTGTCGAGGGTTGGTTGAGGCAGATGTGTGAAATCGTGTTCATTTGGAAATCGTGTTCAACGTGGGAAGCATCGCGTCGCCCCCACTACCCAATCACAGTCCGTGTTGAGCGGTGAAGCCAGCATGGCCCGTCAATTCCGTGCTCACAAAATGTGACGGCTGGTCAATTCGCGTGGACGTGCGGTTGGGCATTCCCGTCTGCAGGATTGGTTGCGATGTGACGCACAGTCCTGTACGAAGGTTGGGTGTGGCGGTTTCAGGGCCCGGCCGTTTGTCCGTCGTGGACCCAAAGCTTCGGGTCATCCAACTTCGTGTCTTCCGTGTCTGACCTGATGTCTGACACGGGGTAGGAATGCACCCTAGCTCTGGACGGGAGTTACGTTCGGGGGAGGCTTCGAAATTCGCGAAAATTCCAAATGCTGCGCCAAGGGTATTTGCCCCACAAGAAATGCCACTTCTTTCCGTACCCCCCAAGCCTACCAACCCGATATTTCTCCTGCGCCCATTTGCCTCCCCTCCCCATTTCCCCCTCGCCACTTTTTGCCCTTCTTTCGACACAGCTGTCGTCGATGGGTGGAGGTTCGGTTAGGGTAGTCGAGAAGGCGGTGGGGCGGCTGGTTCTTTACGAGCCAAGACCTGGTACACTTGCCCCAGCTAGCTAGGCCAGACCACCATCAGCGCCTGTATGTTCGGTATGGTCCGCACCTGCTAAACCGTGTTCTTTGCCTCGGAAGAGTAGCCAAGGCAGTGTCGAACCAAACCTCAGTGAAAATCGAGGACCGAAAGCAGTTCCCAGCACCTGAAGAAACCTGTACATACGTCACAATGCCAAATTGCAAATGCGACACGGCAATCAGCTTGTGATCGACCGCTTTACAGGTCCATGCACCAAAATACATACTTCCTAGTACAGTAGAACTGTAGTAACAACTTCATGAAAGCAGCCACATCCTATATCAACTCTCTCAAATACACACTTCCAAAGGTCAGCTCAAATTCACTACATTCAGACAAATGTCGTCTGACAATGGCGATACTGCCCCCAGTCATTGCTTCCCGTGCATGATCTTCCCTCTCGGCCTCAAAACCCGATGTGTGCCAGCAGCTCTTCCAGTTCCTCGTGACCCACTATATCACTTCCCCTCTTTACCACCAATTTTAAAACCCGCAGCCTGAATTACAAAAAAAATAGGAAGTGTTAACACTTTCCCTCCCGAACCAGGGTGGTTACCACCCGTTCACCAGCAAAACGTGAGGAAGTCGCAGGCAGCGAAGGGAAGTGTCGCCCAACCACTCTTGCCGTTGGTGTGCACACCAAACTGGAAACCTGTAATTCAGGTCGACTGAAATGGCTTAGTAACAGCAGGGAGAGCAGCAGCGATAGCTTTGAACGGCTAGGCTAGAACCCCATTCCTGTCCCAGGCCTCTTGTTTCCGCCTTGCACTTTAGGACAAGTTTTCCATTCCTCGAAAATCAGAAAAAATATAACTTTCCACGGTGCGAAACCCCACTTTCACTCGACATAGCGCGCCACGGACAGACGTGTTACTCCCTTCCCGTCGCCCGTGTTACTCCCTACCCATCGCCGTCGCGCAATCGTACCTTCGCCCACGATCAATCACTTCCGTCACTCACGCGCACTCCAACCCGTCGTCCGCGCTCACTCCCGTTGCGTCGCACACCGTCTATTCCCTCCCGTCGCACACTGCCTCCCGCATCTCCGCCTCACCGCCACACCCCATCTCCTCCTCCCCGCAGCTATGTATTCGCGAGCACTCCCTCCCGTCGCGCGCGAATACGTCCCGTCCGCCGTCGACGCTCTCTCCCTGGCACCGCGTTCTCTCACTCCCCACCTGTCGCGATGGTCCCCTCCGTCGCTCACGATCACTCCCCTTGAGGGGTGACCATCACTCCTCCTCGCTCCGCCACGCGATTCCCTCTCGTCGCCCACGCCCTCCTCTCCCCGCCGCGCACGCTCCCCCCCCATCCGACGCCCACGCTCACTGCCCGTACTCCGCACACGCGCACTTCCTTCCGTCGCCCACGTGAATCCCCCTGCCCCTCGCCTTCTCTCATTCCCCTCCGTCGCCTATGCTCCCTCCCCACCCTCCCCATCCCGCATCTCCCCATTCCGCCTCTCCCATTCCGCCTCTCCCATTCCGCCTCTCCCATTCCGCCTCACCCATTCCGCCTCGCCGATTCCGCCTCACCCATCCCGCATCTCCCCACTCCGCGTCTCCCATTCCGCCTCTCCCATTCCGCCTCTCCCATTCCGCCTCCCCCATTCCGCCTCTCCCATTCCGCCTCTCCCATTCCGCCTCTCCCATTCCGCCTCCCCCATTCCGCCTCACCCATTCCGCCTCATGGTACCCCTTCCTCACCCATTCCTCCTCCGTTGCATCTAGCAGTTGCATCTCCAGACCTCATGGTACACCCCCTTATCCACCCTTCCCTCCCCCCACCTACCCCCCTTCCTCGACCCTTATTCAAAGACCGTTGCAACCAGCAGTTGCAGCCCTTACACCATAACAACCCCTACTGATCCACCTTTCTTGCCCCTCCCCCCCTCACGAGGCACGTCTCCTGCAGTCATTTGCCGATCCCATGCGGTTACCCTGTTTCCTGGGAGCAGCTACCCGCCGGTTCCTGACGTGTCGACCCCGCATTGGCCGCGAACGGCACCGCTGGGGAAATTGGAATCAGCCACAGCGCCATAATGCGCTGAGTCTTCTTCGCAATGGCCAATATCGCATCTGTCAGTACTGAACCATCAGCAGCAGTCAGCGCACTCATTCCGGTCCATGACCCCCGGAAGTAGTAGTTGTACCCGAGAGGAGCAGGCGATTTCGGGAACCAGGAGATGAGCCCGAAGCTTTGGGATCGCGACGCGTTGTACCAGGTGACTTCGGCGCCGAAATCGATCACTGTATACCCGTCTTCACCCTCGTAGCCTGTGTTGATAACGACTGCAATGGGGACCTCGGGCTCCTTTAGCTTGACAAAGCCCCCGTAGTAGCCGTCATGATCACCGTCATCTCTGCCGGGAGGGAAGGAGGGGGCGAACAGGGACGAACAGGGAGGGTGAAAGGAGGAGAACGAGGGACATCGGCCTCTTTGAGCTTGACAAAGCCCCCGTAGTAGCCGTCATGATCACCGTCGTCTCTGCCGGGAGGGAAGGAAAGAAGGGGAGAGGTGGGGTGGGGATAACAGCTGCAATGGGGACCTCCTAATAAGCGCACCTCCTAAAAAGCGCACTTCCTAAGAAGCGCACCTCCTAAAAAGGAGGATGAAGTAACGATGGCAAGCACACCTCACAAACGGGGGGATGCAGTAGCAATGACAAGCGCACCTCTTGAAAAGGAAGATGAAGAAGAATCCAAAGGCATGAACATGCATGAAGTAGCAGTGGGGCAAACAGAAGCGCACCTCTTGAAAAAGAAGATGAAGAAGAATCCAAATGCATGATCCTCCCCGATCTGGTTACCCTTAGAGTCCCTTCCCCTCATCACACACATTATGGCCGCTGCAGTGGGGAGGGTGGTTAGAAAGGGAGAACCGAAGGAACTCTTGAGTTGTACGAGGAAGAACAGGAGAGGAGTGGAATGGGGGGACATTGGGGAAGGGAGATGACTTGTTGCTCCAACAGTGTTGCCTTGCGTATCCCTTCCCCTCATGACATGACACATGTTCTGGCTGGTGCAGAGGAGGGACTGGAGGGGATGCAGGAAAGGGAGAGCAGGGGGAGAGGGGAACGGGGAGACAGGGGCTGTGGGGAGCGGGAAGGCATTTTTTCTCCAATATTGTTACCCTGCGAGTCCCTTCCCTTCATGGGACACTTATGGCCGCTGCACAGAGTCGAAAGAAAGAAGGGGCGGGAGGGGGGGAAGGTGGAGGGGGGGGATGAGGGGTTGGCAAGGGACCAGCAGGTGACCATCGGGTGACCAGCGGGTGACCATCGGGTGACCAGCGGGTGACCAGCGGGTGACCAGCAGGTTCCGCGTGCCACAGTGCTCGCTCACCTGCAGTCACTCAAAAGTGGGAGGGGAGAGGGGGGAGGGGGGGAGGGGGGAAGGGGGGAGGGGGGAGGGGGGAGGGGGGAGGGGAGAGGGGGGAGGGGGGAGGGGGGAGGTGGGAGGGGGGAGGTGGGAGGGGGGAGGGGGGAGGAGGGAGGTGGGAGGGGGGAGGGGGGAGGTGGGAGGGGGGAGGTGGGGGGAGAGGGAGGGAGGGGGGTTGAGGCGCCTCAATGCTTAGCCACTAAGCCCGTTCATCTGCAGTCACTAAAAGCGGGGAAAAAAGAAGTTTTGGGGCGGCTTAAAGCCGAACAACAAATCTCGCTCACGTCTAACTTCCAACTTACTGCGCAAGCAATTGTAATTGCACGACTTACTGCACAGTTGTGTAGCTGGCCATTGTTCGCGAATTACACAGCCACGAAATTTGAGACCCAACTTAATAACAATAATAATAAACAATAATAATAATCCCAACTTACCTGTGCATTTTGTTGTAATTGTCCCACTCACTTCGCATCTTAGTGTAGCTGGCCATTTTGTCCGCGGATTGCTTCGACACGTAGTTCTTAGCTTCGATCCGCATCCGGTTCATTTGGACTTGCCTCAGCTTCTCCTGAAAGCCCCTGTAATACTTGTTGCTCCGCAACCCCGCTGTAAGCTTACCCAGCCCACCCTGTAACGGATTGGCTGATTTCACAGGTACTGCAAAGGGGGATGGGAGGAGAGGCGCGGGGAGGAAGGAGGGTGGGGAGAGAGGGGGGGGAAGAGGGGGGGGGGATAGGGGAGGGGTGGAGGAGGCGGGAGGAAGGGAGAAGGGAGGGAGGGGAAGGGAGAGGAACGATTAAGGAGTCTGCTAAAAAGGATGGGCTGACGGCACGGGCACTACACGGACGTGGGGGCCGCGGGAGGGGTGGGGGGCGTCTGGGCGTGTGGGGCACGGGGGACGCGGGGGGCGTGGGGTTGAGGGGGTGTGTGGCGTGGAGGTCAAATGCGTGGGGTGTGGGGGAAAGGCGGGCAAAGGACGCAGGACGACAGGGCACTCACACAAGCACCGCCCCCTCCGTCGGACAAGGAGTGAGCGTGAACGAACAACTACAAGCGAGGCGCGGAGGACGTGTACGCGCGCATAACGCGGCACATTTTGAGGCGCCTCAAAATGCACCTCACTGCTCGCGGTAGACGTGTACGCGCGCATAACGCGGCGCTTTGAGACGTCGTAAATTAAGAATAGAGTCGATACATGCAAAGACTTGGGAGCTTATACGTGTAAGTGCAAACGCCAGCACGAGTATCCACGTGGCTGTAACGGTGGGCGGTGACGTGGGAGAACTTACACGTCGTGAGAAGGCATAGAGCGACGGCGACGGAGAAGAACGCGAACCGCCTCATGCTGCCTGGCGCGGCGCGGCGCTAAATCGAGTCGCTGAATGTCAGACCGAAAACCCCGATGTAACTTTTGTTTCGACCCAGAAGTTTTTAGTGTCTAGTTGCGCGCTCGGGGCGATTATGAAAACAAGGGAATGGAGTCTTTGTTTTTTATTATTATTATGGGTTTGAAAGATCGCCAGGGAGGCCCTTGGAAGGTTCGGATCGGATATTTCGAATGGTTGCGCGCACGGGAAGGGTCTTGTAGAGAGCCGTGTCTGAAGGTACGATCTGTGCGATGTGGTGCGGTGTTTCGGGAATCGGGGATGTGCCAGTGCTGAAGGATTGTGGGGAAAAAACCAAGCGGAGCGGCGGACTCACACACACTCTGTATTGTACTGTACCACAAGGCAAGTCTCACGTTGGGCAGGGTGGGTTTTCCCAGCACCGCTCACCACCACACCGCCACTGTTGTGACTAGTGTAGATCGTGGGGACAGGTTACGGGGGCGATGAGGTGGTGTAGTGTGTGTGCCATATTTCAGGGGCAGAAAGAACTAGTTGGTGGGTAGCCTCCGCGATGGTTTGGCGGCGCTAGTTTTTCCCTAACCTTGCCCAGAAAAACATGGCTTGGAGAGGTCAGTAGGTGTGGGGATGGGTGGGGAGTTCTTTTAACGAAATAGCGACTCGAGCTAGCTCGTTCGGGGAATGAGCCTGGACGACAGGCACGTTAGGAGGGAGGTTTGAAGTTCCGCGAGTAGGTCAAACGGTGCGCCAACAATTATTCCCCCCGCAAGGGCTTTTGGAAAGAACGTCCTCCCTCCACTCGTCCCTCCCCCTCCTCCCGCCGCCGGTTTCTATTGCAGCGATGTTGTCGAATCAACTGTCGACGCATGGAGGCTCGATCAATCGAGAAGGCGGCGGGCGGTTGATTACCTTACGTACCGAGCCGCGATGCCTCAAACCTAGCTAGCCACATCTAGCGCCTGTACGTTCGGAAAGATTCCCCTTCCAAACCTCCGGGAACAAGCCTCGGGACGGAAGCCTTGAACCGTTAGCCGTGGCAATAGCGAGCCCAAGTTGGATGAAAATGGTCGACCGAAAGCAGTACTGTACTCCCTGGAACAGCAGCACCCTGGTTTGTTCATACAGTACAGCTTTCGGTGACGTACAATTGGCTCGAAGGCATTTGTCTCCAAACTAAACCCAAATCGCCGCCTTCCGAATGCGACTCGGAAACGTAAAATCGTTACAAAGCGTTTTTGAACGGTGCTAAATGGTTTAGACCCGACCCGTCCCGTTCCGAGGCGTTCCGCTCCACGTCCTTCCAACAGAGCGACCTGTTCGATGTTGGCTGCACCAAGACATTCCCCGGATAAGGATCTGGTATCTCCTACTTGAAGGAGCTCCACTTCTACACATCGACACAGCTCCAAGGTCACCATTTTACAATGTGAAATGTTTTAATATGTAACTAAATTTGCAAAGTTGGAAGCTTGACACTCTCATCTCTTGTGAGAACTACTGGGTGGAAACTGGAGAACAATAAGTCAGTCCACCGCTATCATGAACACAAATAACATCATTTATACAGAGATACTAATCATAAACCACTATGATTCCCCCCTTCAAGACTACAAGTTATCACCTCTTAGTTCCTACGCATGAGCTTTTGAATCCTCTTCTTTAAGAAGTTAGCCACCTTGTTAGCAAGAGTCGCTTTCTCGGAAACAAACTGGCCACGGGCAGCGCCATCCGAATAACCAGATGTTGCAAAGAGCCCGTAGTAACTACCCGGAGCAGCCATCATGGCATCCACCACCTGCTTGTATGTATTCCCATTAGCAGCAGTCTTGGAACCTGCATTGTACCAAATCCCCGTAAATGCATATATATAACCAACAACACCAGGATCCATCGGTGGAAGCCCCTGAGATTGGAGGGCGAGATTGAACACGAGCGCTCCCTGGTCCGTAAGATTCTTCCACGTGGCATCAGACCCAAAGTCCAGCGCCACGTCACCTGTCTCCCCCGCGGCCCCGGTGTTAACGGTAAGTGCGGTCGGGTAGCCTGGAGTAGGCACGCGAACAGCAACCGCGTAGCGTATGTGATAGTCGTTCCTGACCCTGGAAAATTTCCAGATTGCGGGGAAACAGAGGAGATGAAAAGAAATGAGAAGCGGAATGATAATCAGGTGGGATGTGAGAGAGAGCGCAAGAGAGAGAGAGCGCAAGAGAGAGAGAGAGAGAGAGAGAGAGAGAGAGAGAGAGAGAGAGAGAGAGAGAGAGAGAGAGAGAGAGAGAGAGAGAGAGAGAGAGAGAGAGAGAGAGAGAGAGAGAGAGAGAGAGAGAGAGAGAGAGAGAGAGAGAGAGCTAGAGATTCACAAAGGGGATAAATGGATACATAGGACGCGAATGGTATTTCAACAAACGTTGAATAGGAATGATGGATGAGCTCGTAAAGAAACACCTTTCACCCTGACACCTTCACGAGTGCTAATGCGAATGTGAGTCCGTTTTCGAGTGCAAATGCGAATATTACTTGAGGATGCCGAAGGTGAGGACTCCAGCCGTTGTCGGATCGCCGCTTAGCTCTGAACCATCCATGGCTGCCGCCAACCCAGCTGCAAGGACGGCCACGATCCAATTCCGAACAAAGAAGAGAAAGCAGGGAAATGAGTATGATGGAAGCATGGTTGAATAATGATGCTCAACGAGCTCGTGAATGTAAGGACGATCTGCGCTAAGAATTTGTGAGCGTCCTGTCAGTTTCAGATCGTGCAACTACATCTGAATGAAAGAATGCGTCCAACCGTTTTTTAGTAGATAGATGAAAAAAAAACAAAAAGCGAAATCGTACCATACGGATATCCGATTCCCTTAGAAAATCTATCTTGAATCCAGGCGCCCACGCTCGCCAGCGCTCTTCGCTGCGCCACAAGGTTGCTGTTCGCGACTGCGGCGGCTGCTGCGGATCCAGGGCGTGTTGCGTGGCATGCTGGGCGAAAAACAAAAAAACCAGGCAAAAAAAAATTTAGAGAAGACGCTCAAAATGCAGACTCGGTCTAGCGTAGATAGAGAGCGATGATATCTTCAGTTCGCATTCTCGAGCTTACATGCCACAAGTAGGAGAGCAGCCACCACCAGACTGAGGGCGAGGAGCGAGGTAAAGGCAGGCCGCAAAGTCATCGTCATTTTCCTCGTAGCGATAGCAAAAATAAGGGGTTGTTAGTTGCAGCAAATTTAAAATCATAGGGCTGCCCTTCGCGTAGGAGTCTAGATTCAGCTTTGCGCGCACGAAATCTTCTCAGCCGAATTATGAGGATTCGAAAGACGTCGAGTTGCTTTTGTAGTTGTATGACAGAGAAGAGATTTGTGATGAAGGGGAATGACGGAAGGGGGTTTGTGGGTCTTCGGTGACAATTTGGTGGCTGGTCACGACATCGCGACATCACATAACCATTTTCGCGACAACTTCAGTACCGTAAGATGATCTCGGATGGATGTTCAACGTCGTCAGATGTTCTCGAATGGACATGAGTGGTTGTCCCAGATAACGAGCCGCTGTCGCCGACAATGTCCCCATGTTTGGTAGGCTTGCTGTGCCCCCTAGGTCCAGGCTGGAAATTGCTGTATTTGCCCAGCATGAAAACTGTTGAATTTCTATCATTTTCAAGCAAGGAAGATGCGGTTCGGCGTGGGCATTGGCAAGCGTCGCCAATGTGTGTAACCACAACACGAAAACCGCCTACTTATCAACTTCGCGAAGGTTGCGAGTTCCGACCCGTTGAGAAAACTCGCTCAATCTACCTGATTTGTTTCGTCTAGGGTGGTTAGTCATGCGAAGATCCTAGCGACCTGTGACGAATGCAAATAGGCTTGCAGCGTGTCGCACAGCGAATTCGGCACCTCTACCTTGCACGTTCTTCTTCGTGCTGCAAACAAATGCACCGACCGACTCTCTGCCAGTTGGTGTGGTGGATTGCTTGATTTCGATGGGAGGAATCTGCCTCGCCCGCGACATGTTTTCATCTGCTTCCTCCTCTCACCACCAGTTCTTCCGGCAAGTACGTAGGGAGAGCCATCGAAATTCTCTTAGCAGCGGCTTCGCGGGCTAGTTTTTGGATCTCTATCATTAAGCTGAGGCGTTCCGAGAACGAGCTGCCTATCAAGGACTCGCACCAAGCACACTTTTGTGTGCACAAACTTTTCCTCTTGAAGAGAGAATTTTATTACCACGACACCAAACATTTCAAGAGATTTGACGAAACCCTCACGCCTATTTGGAATTCAACGTCAAACCCTCAGATCCCAGGAGCTCCAGAAGACTCAGAATCTATAATTTGTTTCAAATGGAAAGCTTGAACCCAAGGAACTGCCCGCGCGTCGCCCCAGTCGCGTGCGCTGCGGAGGTCACCAACCCGTAATACGAGCTAGCGCCGTCGTTGAACATGGCCTCGATAAGATCCTTAAGCGTGCCCGTCGCCGCAGCCTTGGTGCTGGCCTTCTCGTAAATGCCCTCGAAGCTGTAATCGAAGTGGTCTACAAATTGCCGGAAAATCGGGAACACGGGGTTCCACGTGTCGTTCGACCACGTGGCGTCAGCCGTGAAGTCGAATGCCAGCGTTCCGTCCTCGCCCTTTTTCCCCTTAAAAATACCGACGGTAGTCGGGTAACCCGAATCCTTGAGATCGGCTTTGCCATTGTAGTATACGTTGTAATCGCCATCTTTCCTGGAAAACGAAAAGCCGAAAAACACCATGTCAAGTCAAAGCTTACGCATAGAGAATGCTGAGAGGATGGCGACCGAAACGAGGAAAAAATTCAGGGAATATGAACACGAAAGATTCGAAGCTGTGACTTACGAAAAAATAGACATTCGAATAACTCCATGGTCCTTCTTGTTCCCCCCACTGACTTGACTCCCGCTCATAGGAGCGGCGAGAGTTCCTGAGACAGCACGGCGAGAGTTACGCGTCGAAATCGGAAGAGACATTCGTTAGAGCACGTGTGCTCGGGGTAATAGACAACTCAAGATACTGCAGCGAAAACAGAAATATAGGAGTTCAAGCAGCGTTTTGCAGATAATCTTACCAGAAAATTTTCCCAAAGCGGCGAAGTCCTGCCACGAGTACTTGCTTCGGTGGCGAAGCTGCCTCCCCGGAACGGCGTTACCTGCACGTCACAAACTGAGATGCGTTAGTGGTTGAACGTATTGTATCAGGTCTCGCACTGCGGCATCTGCCTTGAAGCTTAGAAATGCCGCGAGAATCAACGGGTCTGCGGAGCTGCGAAGATCATGAGTGAGCGTCATACCGCTCAATACGAGGCAGAACAACGCGGCGAAAAGCAGGAGACGCTTGACTGCCATGGTGTGCTTGTGAAACGTTAGAACTTTGAGGCGATGGAAGTGCTCAGATTGGAGTGCACTTTTTGTTGGAATGGTGTTGAAAGGCTTTCACAAGAGGATTATATATGGGAAGGAGAGAGCGAGGTGTAGTCGAACCAGCATCGTGTAGGCAAGGGGACAGGGGAACCAGAGATGTTGGCGCTTCGGCGATTGTTTGCTTGTAACTATGTGGCCCACCTTCGCGTTTTCGCTGATGAACTTCGCAGGCGGTTTTGGTTTCGTGTCGTACCAGAGTGGGAGGCTCGTTCTGCGGTCCCCCAAGCAAGGTAGTTGTCGGCACCGCAGCCTAGGTTTGAGGTCATAGCTCAAACCGATTAGAACCAGTTGTAACACCTAGGTTCGACGACAGGCGAAGAAAATGCGACACTTTCCTCCTGCTCTGCGAATCGTCGAAATCGCAAGAGTTGCGACACACTTGTCGTCATTCGCATGTTGCGTGCGTACTGTACGGTTGTCACGACAGCACGGCGAAGCCTTGGTTTATGATTGGATAGCGATTTTGAAGCCACCACACAGGTTCAACGCCGACAATGAAGCGAGAAGTTAACTGTAGCAGGTGTGGTGTGGAGTGGAGTGGTTCAGTCAACTTGTCCCCGCTAGGGCTTCAACCAGGACCTTTTATAAGTACTTAAAAGTCGTTCATTAAAAATATTACTGACAGAACTTCACACCTACTATGTGATGGACAACGGGAATGTGACAGGCGCACCAGAGCACTGGTAAGTGTATATTTATTACTTCCCCGGAACTCTAAGGACTTCTACTAACGAAACAATTTTCTCCCTCACTCTTCCTCTTGCCATGCCACGCCTAATTTCTTCAGCGTCTATCTTCATCCAATCTTCAAATGTTATGAACGGGCACGCCCGTTGCTTCAAAAGAGCAACTAGCTCCAACCCTCCCCTTTTGCTAGCATTCGTGTCGAAAGATGTCGATGAAATGAGTTCACTTGCTGTTGCATCTTGCGCAATGCTAGATACCTGGTTAAGGAAAGCAGGCACGAGGGTGAGAAATGGCAAACAGAATCAAAAGACAGAACGCAGTAGGGAAACCGGATGCAGGTGCTAAGGGAATCACAACAAAACCCTTGACACTTGGAAGGGGCGTCAACTCGGTCAGGGGGGTCAACTCACTCAGGGAGGTCAACTCACTCGAGGAGGTCAACTCACTCGAGGAGGTCAACTCACTCGAGGAGGTCAACTCACTCGAGGAGGTCAACTCACTCGAGGAGGTCAACTCACTCGGGGAGGTCAACTCACTCGGGGAGGTCAACTCACTCGGGGAGGTCAACTCACTCGAGGAGGTCAACTCACTCGGGGAGGTCAACTCACTCGGGGAGGTCAACTCACTCGAGGAGGTCAACTCACTCGGGGAGGTCAACTCACTCGAGGAGGTCAACTCACTCGGGGAGGTCAACTCACTCGGGGAGGTCAACTCACTCGAGGAGGTCAACTCACTCGGGGAGGTCAACTCACTCGAGGAGGTCAACTCACTCGGGGAGGTCAACTCACTCAGGGAGGTCAACTCACTCAGGGAGGTCAACTCACTCGAGGAGGTCAACTCACTCGGGGAGGTCAACTCACTCGGGGAGGTCAACTCACTCGAGGAGGTCAACTCACTCGGGGAGGCCAACTCACTCGGGGAGGTCAACACTTGGGGAGGTCAACTCACACGGGGAGGTCAACTCACTCAGGGAGGTCAACTCACTTGGGGAGGTCAACTCACTTGGGGAGGTCAACTCACATGGGGAGGTCAACTCACTCAGGGAGGTCAACTCACTCGAGGAGGTCAACTCACTCGGGGAGGTCAACTCACTCGAGGAGGTCAACTCACTCGGGGAGGTCAACTCACTCGAGGAGGTCAACTCACTCGGGGAGGTCAACTCACTCGGGGAGGTCAACTCACTCGAGGAGGTCAACTCACTCGGGGAGGTCAACTCACTCGAGGAGGTCAACTCACTCGAGGAGGTCAACTCACTCGAGGAGGTCAACTCACTCGGGGAGGTCAACTCACTCGAGGAGGTCAACTCACTCGGGGAGGTCAACTCACTCAAGGAGGTCAACTCACTCGGGGAGGTCAACTCACTCGGGGAGGTCAACTCACTCGAGGAGGTCAACTCACTCGGGGAGGTCAACTCACTCGGGGAGGTCAACTCACTCGAGGAGGTCAACTCACTCGAGGAGGTCAACTCACTCGAGGAGGTCAACTCACTCGGGGAGGTCAACTCACTCGGAGAGGTCAACTCACTCAGGGAGGTCAACTCACTCGAGGAGGTCAACTCACTCGGGGAGGTCAACTCACTCAGGGAGGTCAACTCACTCAGGGAGGTCAACTTACTCGGGGAGGTCAACTCACTCGGGGAGGTCAACTCACTCGAGGAGGTCAACTCACTCGGGGAGGCCAACTCACTCGGGGAGGTCAACTCACTCAGGGAGGTCAACTCACTCGAGGAGGTCAACTCACTCGGGGAGGTCAACTCACTCAGGGAGGTCAACTCACTCAGGGAGGTCAACTCACTCGAGGAGGTCAACTCACTCGGGGAGGCCAACTCACTCGGGGAGGTCAACACTTGGGGAGGTCAACTCACACAGGGAGGTCAACTCACTCAGGGAGGTCAACTCACTTGGGGAGGTCAACTCACTTGGGGAGGTCAACTCACATGGGGAGGTCAACTCACTCAGGGAGGTCAACTCACTCGGGGAGGTCAACTCACTCGAGGAGGTCAACTCACTCGGGGAGGCCAACTCACTCGGGGAGGTCAACACTTGGGGAGGTCAACTCACACGGGGAGGTCAACTCACTCAGGGAGGTCAACTCACTTGGGGAGGTCAACTCACTTGGGGAGGTCAACTCACATGGGGAGGTCAACTCACTCGGGGAGGTCAACTCACTCGGGGAGGTCAACTCACTTGGGGAGGTCAACTCACTCGGGGAGGTCAACTCACTGATTCAACTGATGGGCCCTCAGCTCACCCATCAGACCCCCAGTGGGATTTTCATTAGAAAAACAAAGTGAAAGCTAGTTAGGATTCCTCCCACCATCTACCACCTATCGCATACCGGCTACCAGCTTCTGCCGCCCACCGCCTTCTGCCCACCGCCTTCTGCCCACCGCCTTCTGCCCACCGCCTACTGCCTACTGCCTACTGCCTACTGCCTACTGCCTACTGCCTACCACCTCCAAGTATCTTTCTGCAACATGAAAACAAAGGGCAATTCAAGAGAGAGACTCAGAGGCTCACCGTTTCTTCAGCGTCGATCAGGTTTGTGCCGATGATGCCTGTGGGGCCTCTCTTCAGCCACCCAACCACGTACAGGGCCTGTACAGGCCTCCTTATGTGCTTGTGGATAAAGAAAACTAGAGCACCTCAAGACAGGCTCACCGTTTCTTCAGCGTCGATCAGGTTCGTGCCGATGATTCCCGTGGGTCCCCTCTTCAGCCACCCAACCACATACAGGCCCGGCTCGTACCGAGCCTCACTGGCAGGCTCGGATCCACCGGCTTGCAGCACACGGCCCAACTCGTTCGGTACCGTGCCTAGATTAGGTTAGAAGTGAAAGGAGGTTCGGGGAAGGGAAGGCATAGGAGTGAATACGTGGTAGATTAGATTGGGCAAGCATGATTTAGGGTACAGGACCGACTGGAAAGATTGATGTGGTGGGTAAGGGAAAGGTAAAACAGGGAACGTGGCTGAAAGTAAGTTTGACAGCAGGAGAACTGGTGATTCAGGATATATTCATTTCATATATGCATGAACGGTACAAGTCGTGCATGAACACACATGTCTATACACACATACACACATGTCTATACACAGATACACACATGAGAACTCACCGCTGCGTTGGTTGAAAGGCAGGCCAGCAATGGGCAGAGAGCGGTAGCCTATGCTCTTAAACACGAGGCTGGGGAAGGGGTACGGGGGTTAGGGGAGGCGGGGAGGAGAAAGTGGAGGAAGTGGCAGGGGTTAGGCAGGCCAGCAATGGGCAGAGAGCGGTAGCCTATGCTCTTAAACACGAGGCTGAGAGGGGTTTAGGGGAGGTGAAAGGGAGAGGTCGGTACGAATGGCTTTGAGTCGATTGAAGCAGTATCGAAGGCGGGGAGGGGCATGGAGGGAGCAACAGGAACAGAACGGTGGCCTCGCAGCTTCACTTTATCCCACGAAATCACACACTGTACTTCACTCTGATACCCACTCGCAAGGCAGGTCGCTACTTTCTCCTGTCCCCACTGCTCTCCTTGGCCCGTCCCTGAAGTCCCCTGCACACACAGCAGGCATAGAAAAACTTTCCAGTATGAAATCCACATGCAAAGTCTGTCTCCAGCACTCGAATAGCCCAGACACGCCTTCAAAAGCAGCATGGCAAGTCGCAAGCACGCACCAGTGAGAACGTTCTTTTCCAGTCGAATAGCCCCAACACGTTCCTCTGCTTCCCCCTTCCCATCCACTGCAGGTAACACAGCCACAGGCGAGCGGAAGAACACAAAATCCAGCTCACGCCGGTCACTGCTGCTGCTGTCACCCCCACTGCTCTGGCCGCTGCTGCTTCTGTCACCCCCGCTGCTGCCGAATTCATTGCTGGTGCTGGTGGTGATTGTTGGTGAAGGTGCTGGTGCAACTGCTGCTGCTTTGAAGAGCAGGTCAAACACGCGGCGGTGGCTGCGACTCGCCTTGAGCTCGTCCTGCAAGGGGAGGGACAGGGAGGAGAAAAAGAGGGACAGGGAGGAGAAACTGAGGGAACGGGAGGAGACAATGAGCACAGGTGTTGGTGAAGGTGCTGGTGCTGATGCAGACGCAGATGCTGCTTTGCAGAGCAGGTCAAACACGCGACGGTGGCTGCGACTTGCCTTGAGCTCGCCCTGTGAGGGGAGGGACAGGGAGGAGACGGATCGGGAGGAGAGAATGAGCGAAGAGACATGAGCGAGGGAAAAACGGAGAAGAATAGAGGGGCAAGTGGCTTGGACAGCTAGGGAAGTGTGGAGACAAGGAGGAAGATCTCATTCACCAAAATCCACTTCCATTCTCTCTCATAAATCACAACAACTGTCGGTGTGCGATCATGTGAATGGCATGCTATTGAGGTCTGTGCCCTGTGAGTGCTGATTCGGTAACAGTTGAGCCGCATAAATAAACGTCTCAGTTTTGAGGAGCCATTCTATTGAGTTCTATGACCCGTGAGTGCTGATATGGTAAGGGTCGACATACATAGACAATTTTCGAGGCGCCTCAAGAAGGGTTGACGTACGTAAGACTCACGAATAACAAGGCCAGTGCATTATCACCACCTTATCCATTCTTATTGCTGATTCTCACCACCCACTCCCACTATCGCTCCTCAACTTCCAGGAACCATCGTTCTTTCTTTTTATACCTCGTCCATAGGAGTCAGTGCAAAGTCCTGCTGCATGAGCATCACTTGAATGCCATCGAGCTCTGCACAAATATTGCATACACATGGAATAAGAGAATCGCAATCGGGTCTCGCAGCGATCGGAAATATAGGTGATCTGAGTTGCCAAAAAATGCATGACCAGATCCATGCTGCGGAATGGATAATTGGCCACTAGAAAGGACAATACATGCACGGAATGAAGCATTCAAATAAAAAATTGAGCAACATACTTGCAGAAAGCAACAAACTTAGCAGAAAGCAGCATACTTAGCAGAAAGCAGCATACGTAGCAGAAAGCAACATACTTAGCACCTCGCGAACCTCCTTGGCAGTGCAGGCTGCCTGAACCGGACCCCGCCTTCCCACCACATGCACTCGCCTTCCATAAGCGAGAAGAGTGGGGAGGAGGGGGGATAGGGAAGTGGCAAGGCAGTGTGGGGAAGACAAGGTGGGAGAAGAAGAGGGAGGGAGGGGGGGGGGACGGAAATCTTAAAAGGGGTATACACTGTGCCTCGCCTGATCACGCTTACCTGGCAGAGCCTTTAGCGTGTGCTCCCGTGTCTGCCTCAGGAATCAACGAGGAGGAACAAACTCAAAAGCTGCCAACCTGACTTGGCTCCTTGCCAGTGCCTCCAGTGCGTACTCTGCAATGTTGGTGGGTCGAAACCTTCATTGACTAATGATTTGTGCCCAGGGATAGAAAGCTCATCGCTGCTCACCTGACTCAGCTGCTCGCCAGTGCCTCCAGTGCATGCTCTGCAATGTCGGTGGGTTCCGTTGAGTCGTGCACAGGAATAGAAAGCTCACCGCTGCTCATCGCTGATCACCTGACTTGGCTCCTCTCTAGTGCCTCCAGTGCATGCTCTGCAATGTCGGTGGGTTGAAGCTCACACGGCCGTCGAAGCAGCACTCTCGCCACGTCCAGAGCCACGTTGCCCTGCAGGTTGCAGCAAGGAGATGACGATGTGAGGAGGAAGTGAGGTGGTTAGAATAAGGCCGTGGAAGAGCAGCACTCTTGCCACGTCCAGGGCCACGTTGCCCTGCAGGTTACAGCGCAATGGATAGGGGGATGGGGGATGTGAGGAGATGACATTGTGAGGAGGAAGTGAGGTGGTTGGAAGCACTCAGAAGGCCTCGAAGAGCAGCACTCTTGCCACTTCAAGAGCCACGTTACCCTGCAGGTTACAGTGCAATGGATGGGGGAATGGGGGAAGTGACGTGGCGAGAGGATGTGGTTGTTGTGAGAAGGGGACACTCAGAAGGCCTCGCAAAGCAGCACTCTCGCCACGTCCAGAGCCATGATGCCCTGAAGGTTACAGTGCAATGGAGAGATTGTGAGGGAGAAGAGACGTGGAGAGAAAGAGCAGGTTGCATGGAGAAAAGGTGACTCGAAGGCCGTGCAGGCAGCACTCTAGCTCGCCGTGATGGTCCAGTGCCACGTTGTTCCACGTTGCTCAAAAGCCACGTTGTTCCACGTTGCTCTGCAGTGATGGTGACGCCGACAGCAAGAGCGCAAAGGTGCAAGGACACCTTTCTGTAGGGGCGCCTCTCTCTAGGGGCGCCTCTCTCTAGGGGCGCCTCTCTGTAGGGGGGGCTCTCTCTAGGCAACGGCGCAACGGAGCAACGCTATTGTGCGATGGTGGCATGGTGTGATTTGCGATGGTGTGATGGTGTGATGGAGTGATGGTGTGATGGTGTGATGAAGTGATGGTGTGATGGTGTGATGGAGTGATGGAGTGATGGAGTGATGGTGTGACGGAGTGGTGGTGTGATGGTGTGATGGTGTGATGGTGTGATGGTGTGATGGTGTGATGGTGTGATGGTGTGATGGAGTGGATGGTGTGATTGTGTGATGGAGTGATGGTGTGATGGTGTGACGGAGTGGTGGTGTGATGGTGTGATGGAGTGATGGTGTGATGGTGTGATGGAGTGATGGAGTGATGGTGTGATGGAGTGATGGTGTGATGGAGTGATGGAGTGATGGTGTGATTGTGTGAAGGAGGTGAGATGGTGTGATGGTGAAACGGTGGAATGGTGCGATGGATAGATGGTGTGATGGTGTGATTGGGAGAGGACATAGAGGTAGGAAGGAGTCGATGTGCAAAAGGAGAGGTGGCTCAGAAGAGCAGAGCAGAGCAGGACACCACGTTTGGAGCAACTTCAGCATGGGCAGAGAAGAAAGAGAGAGATGAGAGGGAAAATACATACCTGGCCAACGACAACGGCGGTGTCAGTAGAGGTGAGGTCCACTGGAAGATTGGCGTAGTCGGGATGGCGAGATGAGAGAAGGAAAGAAAGAGAGAAGGAAGGAAAGCATTTACCTGGCCAACGACAACGGCGGTGTCAGTGGAGGTGAGGTCCACTGGAAGATTGGCGTAGTCTGGGTGTCCGTTGTACCACCACACGAACTCCCTGGCAGAGAAGACTCCTCTCAGGTGCTGGAGTGTGGAGGAAGGAAAAGAGGAACCTCTCTAAGAGCTAAGAGGAGGAGGAGGGGGGGGGGGGGGGGGGTTAATTTTTTTCGAAGAGCTAAGAGGAGGAGAAGAGGCTGGAAGGAAGGAGAGGAGGCACACCGGCATATGTGGGATTCTTTGGCAGGAAATATTCATCCTTCAGGTGATAAGAGGCGGAGGGCAAAAAAGGCGGAAAAGTGACATCTGACGCGGCTCATGCAACGTCACAGCTGCTGCTGATGATGATGGGGGTGGCGAGCTGAAGTTTGAGACATTCCCAAGTACAAAACCTTTCTTTTTCCTCACCTCCCCAGGAACGATGAGATCGCGGTTGCCCTCGTCTCCATACGCCAGGTTCACACAACGGTACATCCAATGCAGCTCATGCAACGTCAATGCTGCTTGGTGGTGGTGATGGCGGTGGGAAGCTGGATTCTGAGACATTCCCAAGTACAGATACTTCCTCATCCTCACCTCCCCAGGCACATTGAGGTCACGGTCGCCCTCTGCTCCATATGCCAAGACGACAGCATGGCACCTCTGTCGCAGCTCATGCAATGTCACTGTCGCTGCTTGGGATGCTGGTGGGGCTGTGTAGTTAAAAAATATGCAGAAACACAAATTCTCCCCTCTGCTCACCTCCCCGGGCACATTCAGGTCGCGGTCGCCCTCTGCTCCATATGCCAGGATGACAGCATGGTACATCTGCCGCAGCTCATGCAATGTCACTGCTGCAGCTGGAGATTGTGAGGTTGGCGATGCCAATGGGTCTGACGCTGACGTGGAGGATGATGGTGTTGACGTGGAAGCCACAGGGCCGACCAGAACGTTGCCAAAGTATTGGCAGCGGGGATTTTGGGCCACACGAGTGAACTGGTTGATCACATTCTGGTGAAATTCACATGTAAAAGAAGCGAGAGATTCACAGATGAGCAAATTCGCACAACCAGTAACATGCCAACTCGGTGCAAAAACGAGCAAATTCGCACAATCCCAAAAGCGCATGCCAATGTGGTAGGTGCTGGTTGCACATTGTGATCACCATCGCGACACTCACATTCTCACATAGGATGGTGAACGAAGCTGAAACAATTGCAGACGTAATAATAACATGCCCCAAACATCACGTTAGCTTCAGAAAATTGCTGCCTACCGTTGGCCTCGCACCTTGGTTTCAGGGTGGTCTGGAGCAACTCCAGTGCGCACTAGGCCGAAGGGAGAGGGCAGCCTTTCCACTATGTCCACCCGTGCCGTGTCGAAACGCTTCAGAAGCTGCAAGGGCCAGATGGGAGAGCAGAGGAGAATGGCTGGAAGAACGAGTTCAAAGAGCAGCACGGTCAGGGAAAACACTGCAAGGACCATACCAGAAGATCTAGAGAAAATATTCCTTTTTTTGGACGTTTCATAGCGTAATGAGGGTTTCTGACTCTTGAATGGATTTGATATGACGACTAATGGAAGTGTTTCCACACGTCTTCAGGTTACACCAGACTTCTGACACAACGAACCTGATCCTGTTTTCCTGAAACGAATCAGATCCTATTTTCATGCATTCCCTTCTCCACCTTGGTTCACCTCAATAACACCCTCTGCTCGCTTCGTGTACCTTCTCTGCAGTATAGAAGCCTGCTGGACCGCTTCCCACTATGCAGAAGTGCAACGGCTTGTCACCGCCAGTGGTGGTTGTAACGAAGCGCCTATTACTGAGTACAATTTGGGGAGCTGACCCAGGAAAAACACCATTGCGGTAGCCAGTTGCTAGCCAAGTACTGTTTCTCGCAAGAACATTCCGCCACGCAGCGCTTACAGCGGCAACGGACGGAAGATTCGAACCGGAGACCCCACCTAATCGATCGTTACACTGTTTGGAGCTTTCACGCGCACTAAACGCCGCATAATGCGCCTGACCGGGACTCGCGTCGTCGGCAAACGAATAGCACGAAGGAGAACAGAGCCGTCTGAGGGTAGGGTTAGGGAATGCCAAGTTTGGGAGGTCACACTGCCGTAATGCGAGCCTGGCCGAACGACAACGGCGGAAGCCGTGTCGATGCATAACGTTGCCAGAAAAAAGAAGCCGTTTTACGAAGTCTATCGCGCTACAAAAAGTTCAGCGGAATATGGGAGATTAGCATCCTTGCCAGAAGGACTCTGGGGGTGGCAGGAGGAGCCACGATAAGCAGGGCGGGATTTTGTGTTGGCTGTCAGGCACAAAATCTGTCAGGCGCGGAACGAATGGGAAAGGGAAGGGGGGGAAAGCGAGGCGGAAAAGGGGGGAGGGGAGGGAATACACCTGGGCTCCAATAATTTCATTCCCCCTAATTGCAAGGCCCCTGTCGTCATCTGTGGCTCCTGGTTGAGAGCGGTTCGGTCCTCCCAACAACCCTCCGATACCTTTAACCGAATAAAACCGCTTTCGCTCCGTTCAGAAGAGTCCGAAACCCCGAAATCTTTCGTGAGAGTGTTGAAATTAGAGGGAACTTTTTTGTTCCCCCCAATTTCAACCCCAGGGCAAAACGACAAGGACGCGGCTCGGTGCCCACATTCTGAAATTACCGGAGCCCAGGTGTAGATGGGAAATTCCAAAGGACGACGATAACGTCAGCGAAACGACATCAAGCCTGAGGACCCTCCGACGACCTGTCGACATGCTGCCCCGGGCAGAAAAAAACTAAAACCCCATCGGATGGCATGCCATCCGAGGGAGCCTCAACCCTAAAATCCATGCCCCCCCGCGTTTAGGGTTGAGGCTCCCTGACCGGATGCATGCCCGTCTGGGGTTTATTTTTTTAAGCCCGCGGGCAGCGAGCTCCCCCGGGCGGACTCGCTTGTCCGCTGAGATATACCATTCGAAACGACATCAATGAAATCCTCTTTACAGTGTGCGTCGAGTGCCAAGTTAGAGTCAAAATTTTCTTCCCGTAAAAAACTAACTCATGCATGCATGTACGAACCTTAGAATGGACCTACCGTTGTTCGGGCACGCATGCTCGAAATGCAACGCACTAGATCACACTCTATCTCGCTTCATCTCGCCGTACCGTTTTTGAACCTTCGAAAAGAGCAGCAAATGTGCGCCCCTAGTGGAATGGGCTGTTGATTTCAGCAGAATTGCGCAGAGATGTGGAGTGAGTGACTTGACAGCTCCTTTTGTCAGGCGAAATGCAGAAGTCTGTTTCACCGATTTCATTCAGCTACTGCGTCTCTGATTCACTAGCTTGAGCTAGTTCTAGACCACCAGGAGTTCCTAGCTGTACTGCTATCCGTCGTGTGTTTTTGATATGGCCGGCTCTTACGCCTCTCTCCTCTCTGTCGTTTTTGTAATTGCGGCACTTGTTTTGGTCCAAGCCGGAGACCACAACACCATATATGATCCATGCAAGGATGCTGATCCTGTCCAGAAGGGCGATGGGTTCTCCTTTGCCATTGGCTTCGGTGGTATGTCAGCGACATGGAATAAGTCCTCTCCGTGCTTTGCCGAGACTCTGCAGGTATCATGAATCACATGAGACAGGATGCATAAAGCGTCCAGCTTATTTCGAACGCTGTTGTTACGCTGGACATGGAGTTGAAAACAATGATCGCGCAGATATTACCCCCAGGCGTGGAAGTTGCCGTTTTCCGACCAAAAGTCGACGAGCTTTCTCTTCTGAGAATTAACAACGTTAGCATGGCAAGAATCAACACCACTGTAAGTGGTAAAGCGCAAAATCCATGCTCGCATTTGACATCTTAACCCTTTTCAAAATGATGCAGTTCGTCAACAGCTCTTTGATTGTATACTCTGGAGCTAAGGGAATCGTGTCTTCTCCTCGACAATTCTTATCCCCTCTGGTAACGTTTTGAACTGACCTATGCAACTCCTGATGATGTTGTTGTTGGCGTTGCTTACGACCAGATTGTCCTGCTCTGTCATGCAGGGACGGCTTCCTTCCCTAATTCTTATCATCAATTTCAAAGAAGGGGTTCTTGATTCCTTTGTTTGGTAACACTTTACTTCATCTATTGTAGCAGTTGCTTATTCGCTTTGCGAGACATTGAAGTCATCCTTGTGCAGGAAGGACATGGGTTGCTCAGAGTCAACATGCCAGCCTGTGAGCCCGCTGTGTGTTGACAACAGCAATTGCCTCGTTACAGAAGACCAGTGCATTAGCATGAAAACGGCGTCTGATCCTGAACCTTGCCGCCTTGCAGTAAGGGAGCTGTTTTGACTGTTATTTCTTGTTTTCTATTCTTTGCTTTGCTAGCCTGACCTACCTTGGACAGATCAACGTGGCATTTTCTGGAACTGATAAGGATAAAAAGCCGTTACAATCATGGTACGAGGTTCAAGACCTTCAGACATACTCCTTGACAGCATTGTACGATACAGCAAAGAACAACTTCCAAGATGCTGTGGGTGCTTCAAGCAATAACCCTGATGAGATTACCAGAGGGTAGATGAATAGACATATTGCCTTGTTATGGTTTCAGATTTGAGAGACGGAACCAGTGTCTGTATCTGTGCAATACGGTTCTGTGCAATAGGGCGATAATACCTCTGCAATGAAGATTTTAAGAAGAACATGTGGTATGAACTCGCGTTTCATACGTTTTAGTGAGTAATGAGACGTGTCGGCAACCAGTAGGATGACGAACCACTTCTGACGCGTACGGTGAGTGTACATCCCCCAACCACGTAAGTTGATCAGCATTCCCCGTCAGCTCTTGTCAGCCCCGTCCACCCCCAGCATGATAGACGGACCAGCCATTCCTGCCAAAACTAGTCGACCTACCATCGTCGTCTGCATCCTACATATATCGAGTGATCGACAAGCAGCCGTAGTTCTCTAAGTTTCGTCTTTTCACATTTCTCTCTCCAGTGCGTACATTGTCTCCAGATGTCATTTCCCGAGTCTCTTCGGAAGAATGTCTCGAACTGGACGACCACCGTGGCTGCTGGCATTCCAGACAATTTCCAGAAAGCCGTCATCAATTTCACATTACCCGATGTTTCTGCGATAAAATGGCCGTTTGAGCTCTCGGAGAAGGATGCAGCAACAGCCGCTACTGCAGATACGCCTGAACCTTCCCGCACTGGAGCCAGATGGACGGGCCTTTTTCCGGGCAAGAGTATCAAGGGGAGCAGCGGCAGCATCTGGAATCGAGGGGTTGGTTCCAGTGGTACTGGGAAAAGCGACAGTCCCAGGGGTCATGCAGGTGGTAGCAGCAATGGTGGGGACGGACGGAGGAGCGCCTGGGAGGACAACATGCGCCAGCAACTGGCGGTTTGGCGCGCCGACCCCGAGTGGGAAGACGAGCAGCCCAAACTCGAGGTAAGCTTGCGGTAGCATAGCCAACGGAAACGGGAAATACGGACAGTTTTACATGATCGATGCAAGTGTGAGTGTCGTCAATGACAATTCCCCATGTTCCCATATCCCCTTACCGCCGCTTCACTATTGTCTGTTCCCGTCTCCGCACTCGAACTTACCTCTACCCTCTTTCTGCTCCCCCCGTCGGTACTCTGTAACCTCCTCCCATTCACCCAGCCTGATTCCACCGTCACTGCATTGTTAAACGCCTTGCATTCACCCCTCTGTTATGTCACCTTGTTAGGTGTCGGTCCCAAAGGGCTCCTTCTGCCGAATGGACGCACAGTTCCTGCTTGCCCTGCCCCCGGACCTCGTTTATAGCACACTTTGCGACCCCAGCAATAAAAGAGTTTTCAAGAATATTACGGTGTGTGGGCGGGCGTAGTCTTTCACAAATGGGTGGGTGTGTGGGTCGGGCATTTGGGGCTTGGGAACGAATGAAAGCGAGGTGACCATGTATGTATGAACAGCGTGTACCTGTGTGCGCCTATGTGCCTGAAAGTTGACAAGGGAGGAAGATACGAAAGAAGGGCTGAATTAAGGGATATATAAAGGGAGGAAGAAAGGGACCGGAAAGGGAGGAAGGGTTGGAGGCGGCGTTGGAGGGATGGGGCATTGTGTAACTAGGAGCATGTGTTGTGAGCCAATCGCAAGGTGCATAATCCATGAAGCCAAGTGCTTTGACTATCACTCTTCTTGAATGTACGAACACCAGTCCCCTGTTTTTGGCTCTGACCCTCTTTATGCTCAAGGCGCCTGACCATGCCCTTGTTCCTCAGTTTAACTGATACCATGCCATCAATTTTGTCGAATCACTTGGCATGACCTGAGACTGCTTGTATGGCACGGAATGGTATGGCACCCACAACATGGGGGGTATGGCGTTACGTGGGTGATGGCATGGCATGGCACGTGGCACATGGTCCATGGTAGGATGTGAGCTACCGCAAGGTGTTGTACGACGACGATGGCGACGTGCAGGAGGTGGAGCTGCAGCAAGGAGCCCGGTGATTCTCCCTCTTCCTCTTCTTCTCGATAACCTCAATGTGTTGTACAACATCCCACATTGTACATACCACATTGCACACCCCACGTGGCCCATGGCAGGATGTGAGCTACCGCAAGGTGTTGTACGATGATGGTGACGTGCAGGAGGTGGAGCTGCAGCAGGGAGCCAGGTGGCGCTTCCTCTTCCTCTCAGGAACCTTTGACGTGCGCCTGAGAGTCAAGCAGGACCGACCCAACCTCAAGGTACACTCGTTCGCCTTCCACATTCTCTTCCTCTTCCTCCTTTTCCTCTCAAAAACGTTTGATGTATGCCTGAAAGTCAAGCACGACTGACCCAACCTCAAGGTATTTCTATTTCCCAACACATACCATTTTCCTGTGTTGCTCGTGTCACGAGCTAATATCTCACTTGGCTCTTCATATTTTTACAATCCACTTCACTATTGTGTCTCTGTGTGTCAAACACACGTTCTTCCCCCCCCCCTCCCCCCCTCCACCTTCCTTCCTCTTACCAGATGTCGTTTAAACTTATAAGGCCCGGATTCATGAAGCAGTTTGAGGGCTACTGGCAGCTAGAGCCGCTGGTTGTCCCTCCCTCCTCCTCTCTTCCTCCTCCCACCACACTTCCCTCCTCCTCCCTCCCCGCTCCTCGCTCCCCCAAGGCCCGCTCCCCTCGCCCCTCCACGCCTCACTCTGCCCGCCGGCCTTCCAAAACCCCCACATCAACTGCATCATTACCACATTCTGCCAAGTCAACTGCCGATGACCCCTCTAGTGCTGTTACAACCAATGGGGAAGAGCCAGCTGTCAGCTCTTCTCCACGAGCCTTTTCCGGCTATTTGCTAAATGAGCGCAATCCGCACCACCACCACCACCACCATCCCCAGAACCCAATGCGGGTGGCCACAAGCGTTCAGCTTTGTCAGGTAGTGCAGCCCACGCTCACTCCACCGCCCATTTTGTCGCACTACTTGAGAGGGATCAGCACTCAGATCACCCGGGATATGCTCAAGGATTTTCAGACTGAGGCCGCCCGGATAAGATATGATCTTCCAGTTGATGCTGATGTGGAAAAGGAGTTGGAAAAGATACGGAGCGAGAGTGGCAGAGAGGATAAGGAAGAAAATGGTGGCCAGAGGAACAGTGAGGGTGAGCAGAGAGAGGGAAGGGTTCGCTGGAGGGATGAGGTGAAGAAAGGGGTCAGGGGAAAGAAGGTAGGCCCTGGGAGGGCAATCCAGGAGATTGATGGGCAAATGAAGGGGGGCGCTGGGAGGAGACGTCATGCCTTAATCAAGTTATCAGAGAGAGAGGGGTGGTAGACGGAGGTGGAGGAAGTTTCAAATGCAGTTACGGTAGTGAACTTCGCACTGTCGAGGCCACATTGGCCTCATGCACAGCACATCAGACTTAATTGTGTGTTAGAACGCTTATACCCATTTGCTCAGGCAAGTTTGTCAGGTGTGTTGATGAATTTAATAAGTATATCTTGGACCTCCGTGCCTTTTTACGAGGTACTAAGAATACCATGCACCAGGCAAGGCCTAGAAAGTTGATGCGTCAATCTAAACCTGGATGCAGTGTGCTTCCATTTGGGTTGTAGTTAAACATCTTAGAGATTGATTAGTTGAGCATGTATTGTGAAGTATCCTCCAGCGAAATCTCGCTATATAAGAACTTCACGAAACTAGAAGGTCACACTGCCACATCATTTTCTCGTTTGAATCTCGGCAGCCAATCGCAGCTTCCCACCACATCGGCGGCCTCCACAAGTCCAGATCAATTGGATTGGGACCATTACAGAGTGACCCACTGGCGCACACACCAAACCACCTCAGCGCGCCATCATGATCCCGTGTCCGCATGCTTCACGTATTTCCTCCCAACAACCAACCTCGATGGGAGATTTCCGCCCACGTCCGCAACCATTTTCCCCTGTCTCAGCCTTCCGCCCACGTTGTCCGCAACCATTTTCCCCACCCCCGTTCCCCGTATGCCTGAAGTGAGAGAACCCCTTCCCCTGCAACCCTCTGCTTCTGAAAACCCTTCTCCGCCGATGCCCCTGCCCCCCCCCCCCCCACCTTGGGAGCATCACCTGGGGAATCCAAGAGAATGCTTTTCAGCTCAGCAGCAGCAGCCAGGCAGAAGTCCCAATTCCCGTTGGGCATTACTCCTGACACTTCTATTGTCCAGCTACGGTGCATCCGCGAGCCATTTTTTTGTAAGGCGTAGTGCAGCAGGGTCGACTAGACCTACGTCGGTTCTAAGCAGACGAGATTAAGTTTGTTCCGTTGCCGTTATTCTCGTAGACCATTAGTGGCATGGCGGCCACTTTGTCTGCACGCGCGTCGTCGTCTGCTTGCACTCTAGCTCGTGCAGGAGCTAGTTCAGAATCCCCATTTCTGAATTCCTCCGCTACACTCGTGCCGTTTAATGGCCTGAAAAAGTCCTCCCTCGTGCTTTCTAAGAAGGCCTTAGCCCGGCAATTGAAGCACCGAGCGGTGGTGTCAACCGGCGTGCGAGTGGTTGCAGAGGCTGCAGATTCAACTGTCGTGACCCCAAAGAAAGAAGGGGATTTCCGGCACGAGGCTCCTCGACAGGGTAGGCTTTCGATATTTATGTAAGGCTGCACTTCGTGTGTGTATAACAGTACCTGATTTTTCTGAAGGTTGAATGGCCTAAACCCCGGTTACGCTAGGTACCTATGGGTCAAACCATGCTCCATGCTTCGGCATTGAAGGTCAGCCAGATATATCATAACTTAAAGATATTGTCTTGCTGGTTCAGAACAAAGTGAGCCTTTATCTTTCAGACGTAACATGGTCGTCGCGATGTCTTGTTTATCTTGTCTTGCTGCCTTTGGTCTAAGTCTGTACGCCCGACCTCCCCATCGCTCTGACTTTGTTTCAGAGCTCGAAAGCCCTCAGAATGTGTTCTCTGCCAAGTACGTTCCGTTCTCTCCGGATCAGAAGCCAACTGAGGAGTACTCTCTAGACGAGGTCATCTACACCAGCAAAGACGGTATGCAGTCCAACCTGACAGTTTTCCAGGCGGTGATAATGCTTCTGACATGATGATTTTCCTTCGTTCCTTGATGTCACGGGTCCCGACAGCAAGCATGCTAGATCGAAGATACAGAATATATTGGAGAGATTTACCATGAGGTTAGCAAGATGTCTCTGACGTGGCATCTTATCTGTGGAAAACTGTGCAGGCCTGCTGCTGGACGTGCAGCATGACTACGAGGCCCTCAAGCGCTACGACGCCGCGTACTGGAAAAAGCTCTTTGACTCCCGAGTCGGCAAGCACACGTGGCCTTACGGATCCGGAGTGTGGAGCAAGAAGGAATGGGTTCTCCCGGTAAGTTCCAACTTTGACTGTGTGCTTCTGTTTGTTCTTTTCGCCGGATTTAACAACACCGTCGATCCCTGTGATCTTCCTTCTGAAATTTCACGAATCCATGATTCGCCGTTGCGATGTGGACGTCACTGGTTCGGCCCATCGATCCGTCGTGCTCTACTTACAGTAATTTTCGTCTGAATACTGTCATTAAAATGCTGAATAACTTGCAGGAGATCGACAACGACGACATCGTGAGCATGTTCGAGGGCAACTCGAACCTCTTCTGGGCCGAGCGGTACGGCAAGGAGCTCGGAATGACCGACCTGTGGGTCAAGCAGTGCGGCAACAGCCACACTGGCTCCTTTAAGGTACGCAACACGGCTCATCTGCTCACTCTCCTTTTTCCAAATGTCTTACCCTCTTCTTGATGTTGCCTTTTTAATCATAAGTTAGAGGCTAGCATGAACAGTTCGTGTTTACTCCCTACTTTCCTTAATTTCTTGCCTCTACCACCGATTTTGTCTCCTGTCCGCAGGATCTGGGCATGACGGTGCTCGTGAGTCAGGTGAATCGGCTGCGGAAGATGAACAAGCCTCTCGCAGCCGTTGGATGCGCTTCCACCGGCGACACCTCCGCTGCTCTGTCCGCCTACTGCGCCGCAGCCGGCATCCCCGCGATCGTCTTCCTCCCTGCTAACAAGTACGTCCATTGTTTGTTACCCTGATCCTTTTCCTCCGTATGTCCTACTTTGTTTTACCATCGTGGGTTTCGACAGATGCGCGTAATCTAACCGACCTCCGTCTAACATGAAACCCTTAAACTGGTATTCCCGTTTCTCCCTGCAGGATCTCTCTCGCGCAGCTAGTGCAGCCCATCGCGAACGGCGCGCTCGTCCTGTCCATCGACACGGACTTCGACGGGTGCATGCGGCTGATCCGCGACGTGACGGCGCAGCTTCCCATCTACCTCGCCAACTCGCTCAACTCGCTGCGCCTCGAGGGCCAGAAGACGGCCGCCATCGAAATCTGCCAGCAGTTCGAGTGGGAGGTGCCCGACTGGGTCATTGTTCCTGGAGGTGCGTTGACTGGGTTGATCGGGTTGACTCGTTGACTGGGTGGAGTGGGTTGACCGGGTTGGCTGGGTTGGGTGGGTTGGGTGGGTTGAGTGGGTTGAGTGGGTTGACTGAGTTTGGTGGGTTGAGTGGATTGATTTTCTACCTTTCTCCTGTCCCCTCCACCCTTTCCCGCACCCCCACCCCAAACCCAACCCTACCCCTACCGCACCCGTTCTATCTCTCCCTTTCCCTCTTCCCTGTGTTTCCTTATGTTATTGCTGCTCCTCTGCTCTGTCTTCCTCTCAATTGTTTTGCTGTTTCTGATGTGATCTGCCCTGCCTCTTGCCATTGCATGCAATTTGAACAACAAGCTCGCCTCTTATGGGCGCTTTTTGAATCAACTGAAGTATTTGCCTTCCCCTCTTTCCCGCCTTCCCGCCTTCCCTCCTTCCCGCCTTCCCGCCTTCCTCCTTCCCGCCTTCCCGCCTTCCTCCTTCCCGCCTTCCCGCCTTTCCTCCCTCCCTCCTTCCCGTGGCCCGTTCCCCGCTCCCGCAGGCAATCTGGGCAACATCTACGCGTTCTACAAGGGCTTCTACATGTGCAAGGAGATGGGCCTCGTCGACCGCATACCCCGCCTGGTGAGAAGAGCTTTGTCGCCGCCCTTCCCCTCCTTCCTCCATCTCCCCTCCTTTCCTCCTTGGTCCTCCTCATTCCCTTCCTCCCTCCTCTCCTCCTCCCCTTTTCCCCTGGTCCGCTTCTTCGTTCTCCCCTTCTCTCTTCTCTCCCATTCCCCGCTCCCACCGCTCGATAGTTGTTGCTGTAAGCTAACCACGCTGTCTAACGGGGCCGAGGACGATCTTTAAACATTGACAAGCATATGGCTGAATTACCGTCTGTTGATAAACCATATTTCTGAGACCCTGCTGCTTCTATTGTGAAGCTCAAATCGTGTGAAGACACATGTATGGCCTGTTATACCAGCGTGGGAGGGTTCCTTCCATTTTCTTCCAGCCCTTGTGCCTCTTATCTTGTGCTGGTGTTGAGCGGGATCGAGGCTCTATTACACCTCTCAACTGGTAGCTTCGTTATTGTGAGGCCGTGGATGATTTCAAAATTATTGACAAGCATATGGCTGAATCACTGCCTGTTGATAAACCATGTTACTGAGGCCTGAATCTGAAGCTTTTGGAGAGGAGAGCGAACCGGGTCTTCCTGTCTCTGCTTTTCTCGTCTAAGTAGTCATGGTGTCGTTTGATTTGTTTTCCTTCCCTTGGGACGGCAGCGTGGCAGATGTTGATTGAAGTATGCATAGTTCAGATGAGACGCACTCGTGCGTCCGGGAAAACTTTATTTTCGCCCCTATCTGATGCCACAAACCCCCCGCCTCCTTCACCTGTCACTGCTACTTCTGCTGCTCGTTTCTCCCTGTCCCTGTTTGTTTCCCTCGTTTCCTCCTGTGCGTCTTTGAATACCTCGTTTGGATGATTCGTTGATGTAGTGGAAGTTCTCGAGTGATGTTTGGGATTGTTCAAAGGTGGTGATGTTGAGTGAGGGTATGATGAGCATCTTCTTATTACACTAATCCTTTTCCCATGTTGACTCGAAATGACCAAGGCGCTGACCCTTTTATTATCACGAGTGACGAGATGAAACTTGGAAACCAGGTAGGGAGGGGGAGGAGCCAGGCTAGGGAGTGAGGGAGGGTATGATGAGCACTCATTCATCACAGTTATCCCTGACTGAACTGTCGTGTTGACTCATGAATTACTACGGTGCTGACCCTCGTTTTTATCACTTATGATGAGCTGGAATGCATTAACCAGGTAGGGAGGATGAGATGAGGCTAGAGAGAGTGGAAGGGTATGATGAGCACTCATTCATCACAGTTATCCCTGACTGAACTGTCGTGTTGACTCCTGAATTACTACGGTGCTGACCCTCGTGATCTAGTTGCCACTTGTAGGGGGGTATGGGAATCAGTGGATATCGGGTAATCAAGGATTTTGGTGCTGGGAGGTTTTTGCACTGTTGGTCTTGTCTGGGTATGGTTGGGTTGGGCTGGGTTGGGTTGGGAACAGTTTTTGATGAGTGCGAGAGGAGGTGACTCTGGCATATGTTGATTGAAGTTATGCATAGTTCAGATGAGACGCCTTTGTGTGTCTGGGAAAACTTTATTTTCGCCCCTATCTGATGCCATGAAACTCACCTGCTTCTAGCTGCTGCACAATGCAAGTGTCTCTGTTGCCCGTTTCCCAACTTTTTTTTTTTTTTTTTTTCTGTGGAAGGGGAATGATGAGCACTCATTCATCACAGTTATCCCTGGCTGAACTGCCATGTTGACTCATGAATTACTACGGTGCTGACCCCTTCAGTGCTTCTCCTTGTTTTTCTGTTCTTATTCACTACTCTCTAGTGTACTCAGAGCAACTGGCCTTCCTTTCCCCATTCCACCTAATGTTCTTGTTTCGAGTATGCTATCATGTGTTAGAGCAGTCCGTTTTTTTTAGCTCCGAATGGACTGTAACGTGACATCTCTATGTGTCTCTCCCTCTCTTGTGCTTCCTCAACAGGTGTGTGCGCAGGCAGCCAACGCGAATCCGCTCTACCTGTCATTCCAGAAGGGCTTTGAGCAGTTTGAGCCGGTGCGGGCAACGCAGACCTTCGCCTCGGCCATTCAGATCGGAGACCCCGTCTCCATCGACCGAGCCATCTTTGCCCTAAAGGTGGGTTGTCTTTTGAGACGTCTCAAAATTCCTCTACCTGTCGTTCCAGAAGGGCTTTGAGCAGTTTGAACCGGTGCGGGCGACGCAGAGGTTTGCCTCAGCCATTCAGATTGGCGACCCCGTCTCCATCGACCGAGCCATCTTTGCACTTAAGGTTGGCTAGGCTTTGATGCACTCAACTGTGGCGCTGTTATGCTGTGGTTCTAACAATGTGCTGCTGGGCGTCATGGTGTTACGTTCACTGGGCCTGGCATGTCCCGTGACCAGACCAGGGCATCCAATGACCTAGAGGAGGAGGCCACGGGTCAGGAGCTCATGGGTGCTGTACCATGTGCCAGATGATGGCCTCCCCCCGCATTCTCAACCGACCACTTTCTCTCCTGTCTTTGCCCCCCTCCCACTGCTCTCCTTTTCTCTCGTGCAGGCATCGGATGGCATAGTGGAGGAGGCAACGGAGCAGGAGCTCATGGACGCTGCAGCGGAGGCGGATCTCACGGGCATGTTCAACTGCCCACACACAGGGGTGAGCGCCCTTTTCCTCCAGATTCTGCGCTTCCATTGTGGTCCTCTGTCTATTTTGTTTCTCCATACTCTGCATGTATGTTAATCTCTATCACTTTGGGTTTCTTCTTCTCTCAGCCCTTTCCCTTTCCCTTACCCCCCGCTCTCTCCTGCAGGTGGCGCTGGCGGCTCTGAAGAAGCTGCGCAGCCGGGGAGTGATTGGCCCCAATGATCGCACAGTGGTGGTCAGCACAGCACACGGCCTCAAGTTCGCTCAATCCAAGGTAGGGCAATTCTGTTTGTTGGAAACGTTGAAGTTGATTCAGGAAGAAATGGGTGTGATGTTTGGGGTCTACTGCTGATGGAAATCCATGTCGGCTTTGAATAACCTGTGTGTTTGGGTGATGCTTTCAGGTGGCGTATCACTCAAGCGAGATCCCGGGCCTGGTGTCTACGTTTGCCAACCCTCCTGTGAGCGTGAAGGACAACTTGGGAAGTGTTATGGATGTGTTGAGAGAGCGCATTGGCAAGTAACCTGATGTGTAGCTACTAATACTTTATAGAACAGCTTTGTAATAAGCAGAGCATGCCCAAATTGTTCAGATAGTATATTATCCATTTTTAGAAGTCCACTTAGCGGTGTACAATTCTTGTGTAAACTTCAATGCTCGGCAATTACGGTAGCTGAGTTGCGAAGGGGTTGTGGTGGCGACGACCCCGCGAATACCATGCGATGTAGCACCAGGCGAACTAATCGTTCGAGAAGACTCGGAGCGCCGCCGAGTCTGACACGGCGAGCCATTGTGAGTGCAGCAACACCGCTGGCAATTCTGGATCATCGCGGTGTCCATAACGAGTCCAGGTTCCGACCGACGACCTCTAACGGGAATAAATTGGGGTATCGTGGCGATCCCTTCTCGACCCCACTGATTTCAGAGCGCGTCCTGAAACGCCTCGTTTTGCCGAGTTGAAACAGAGCGGTTGAGTCAGATCATGTCTACTTTAGAGCGGTTCTATTGCTTCACCGCACAAATGCTTGATACGGGCAGTGAAGACGCTATGAACGCAAGAGCAGCCTGCAGTGAAACGACTACACAAGTAGGCTGACCAAGGAGTGTTGCGGATAGTGAGCTCGCGAATCAGGGAGGATAGCTTTTACAGGCGTTGCTGCGTATCAGGCGTCATATGTCGTGGTAGTCAGGCATCGGATTGCTAGCTGATACCGTTTCTCATGCGCTCCTGAACAATTTTGCTGCCTTCCGAGCACATTCTCCTTCCAACGTTACTGTCATGACTGCAGTAGCGTTTCGACCGCTTTCGTACAATGCATGTTGCCGCAGACTCCTATTATAAAGACTGTCAATCCGCGCCGCGTTGTTGCATAATTGTCGATTCGCGAATCGTGAACGTTGAATAGTTACAATAGAACTGTTTGCCTCTTGCTTAACCGTTGATTCGCTTAGCTCTGAGATGCCGAGCCGCGGCTCTCGCTCTGCTTCACGCTTGCGAGTCCAAGACAAATCGGTCATTGCGGAAGGTCATGGCTTTTCAACTGTTTAGTAGTAACGGTCCCTCTCTTCTAGGCGGTTTCCGCGACAGTCGCACGCACAGGTCGCACGTACCACGCTGTAGAAGCTCTTTCTCGCGACGTCTGTAACCACGCAAGCTATCATTTCGTGACGACTTCCGCGACAGTCGCGCATATGAACCTCGAAAGCTTCATAAAACGTTACAGATAAGCTGACCATTAGGACCAGCTTCGGAGTTTTTCTAGGCGAGCTTCATTAGTCAAATAAAAGCCAGCCTTATTACCATCCAGTAAGGCTAGGAGCTCATAACAAGCTGGATATATATTCGAGTTGTCTGCCGACAGTCTGACAGTCTTTCGCCAGACCAGTTAGCTATGCTTAACAGTTCACTGGCCACTGAACCTCCGTAAAGCGCGTACAACAGTAGCTACGCTCATGGCACTCCCCAACCCTTGTCACGGCCGCAATCCCCGAACCCAGCGTCATCGCAAACACCTCCTTCAAACCCACCGTCGCCAAAAAGCTGCATTACCGACCCACCACCCCGGTCTTCTTCACTTCCCCGTCCTCCTCCTTCTCCTCCTCCTCGTCCCACCCACCTCCTTCCCTCCCGGCTTCGACGGCCACCTCTCTCGCGGGGTGCGTCTGGTCGCGGCTACGCCGTTCCGCGTCACCGACGCATACAAACCGGTGTGCGGGGGTCTCCCTGCCAATCCCCCCCGTCACGGTGCGTACGTTCCTTCTTCACTTCCTCCCCATCACACCCATCCCTTTTCCTCCGTCCCTGTCGCCCGGTGTGAGTCTGGTCGCGGCTGCGCCGTTCCGCGTGACTGACGCCTACAAACCGGTGTGCGGGAGTCTCCCTGCCAACCCCCCTCGCCACGGTGCGTGCTTTACACAGTGCACCTCAAAACACAAGTCCGTCTGGTCGCGGCTGCTCCGTTCCGCGTGACTGATGCCTACAAACCGGTCTGCGGAAGCCTCCCTGCCAACCCCCCTCGCCACGGTGCGTGCTTCACACAAGGCACCTCAAAACACGCGTTCGTCTGGTCGCAGCTGCTCCGTTCCGCGTCACCGACGCATACACTCCTGTCTGTGTCTTCATCGCATTCCCTCCCCATAGTCCCCCCTCTTCCACCCAGGTTGGAAGCGGTGGAGCGACCCCAGCACGTGGGGAGAGCAATCGCTGGTCTCGTGGAGGCACAACAAGGGGTGGCCCTTCCGCCTGGGTGTGGTGTGGTGTGGTGTAGGAAGCTGATGATAGTCAGTCGTGCCGTGGAAACACCCCTTTTCTGTGTGTTGCGCAGGTTGGAAGCGGTGGAGCGACCCCAGCACATGGGGAGAGCAGGCGCTGGTCCCGTGGAGGCACAAGGGGTGGCCGTTCCGCCTGGGCGTGCCTGGGCGCGGGCTGCTGCAGTGGCGCGATGTGACTATACCGTGTGGCACAGCCATCCTGCTGGATGTGCCTGAAGTGAGGGTGGGGAAGCTCAAGATCAAGGGGTGGCTCAAGTGAGTGTGAGAGAGTCTGAGCGCTATAGGTTCAAGCGGTGGTAACCATCTCCCTCTCCCACCTCTCTCATCTCTCTCCCATCCTGCTGGATGTGCCTGAAGTGAGGGTGGGGAAGCTCAAGATCAAGGGGTGGCTCAAGTGAGTGCATTGGGACGACTTTTGAGGCGCCTCAAAAGTCGTGACTATATCGTGTGGCTCAAGTGAGTGTAGGTGTGAGTGTGCTGTAAATCTGACTGCTGAAGGCTCAACTGGTAACGCTCCCCCTCTCTTTTTTCACCTCTCTCCCTCCCACCCACACCCATCACTCCCTAGGGTCCTTGATTCGCCCAAGCTCCCCCACATCCGCGTCAGGGCGCGTTTCATCCTCGTTATGGGACGCTTCACTGCAGGCTCCGCGTCCCGCCAGCTGTCCTCGCGCCTCACGGTCACCCTGCACCCCAACACGGGATTCCCGCGCGGCAGGAAGCCCTACAAGCTCCGAAAAGTGCCGCCCTCTGACCCGAGGAACCCCCGAGACCTGGGGCACAAGGCGTTCGCTGTGGTACGTGTGAATGCACCCCCATTCCTGAATACGCCCCTGAACGCACCCCTGAATGCACCCCAGAATGCACCCCTAAAGCTACCCCTGCGCGCGCCCAATCCCGCACTCTTAACCATGTCTGGACTCGCCCCTTGTCTTTCAACTCTCACAACACACACACTCGCCAGGTGGGAGGGCAGGTGGATCTGCATGGCATGCCGGGAGGGGCTGATACCCCCTCCTGGGTGCGACTGGCAGCAACAGCAGCAGCGGGGCAGAGGCACATGAACAGGCACCCTCTGAATGCACCCACTCATGTCTGTCTGTGCCTTTGTTTCTATTACTACCAGGTGGGAGGGCAGGTGGACTTGCATGGCATGCCGGGAGGGGCTGACACTCCCTCCTGGGTGCGACTGGCAGCAGCAGCAGCAGCGGGGCAGAGGCAACTGACTGTTGAGGGCGATGTGAGGGGATGGCGCCCGGGCTTTACTGTTGCCGTTGCCTCCACCAGTACTGACTTTAATGAGGCAGAGAGCCGAGAGATCGAATCAGGTGGGTTGTTGGGGGCACACAGGTACATGCAGGAACAACAACAGCAGCAGCAGTGGCGGGGCAGAGGCAGCTGGTGGTTGAGGGGGACGTGAGGGGGTGGCGCCCGGGGCTCTCTGTTGCTGTTGCATCCACCAGTACTGATTCAAACGAGGCAGAGAGTAGAGAGATTGAATCAGGTGGGCCAATTATCAATATGTGTGTGTGGTTTGGGGCAACTGGCCCAACTCACCAGAGTTTGTTCCGTGTCCTACTGATCAGTTGCAACTGGCTTTGTGTGATAAGTCGAGTTTTGAGTCGACTCAAAACTCGACTTATCACACATGCAACTGACCCGTGTCCTATGGCTTTAATGGTACCAACATCAGTAGTGCCCGACCCTCCCCTTTACGTTCCCTCTGCCTTCTTCCCATCACAACAGTGACCCTGGTCTCCCCAGCCACCTTCCCCCCGACATCTCGCATCACCCTCACCGCACCCCTCACCCACACGCACGAGGGCACATCCATGCCGGATGGTTTCGGTGGCTCGGTGGATATCCGTGCTCATCAGTGCCCCACCCTCCCCCCCTGCTCCAATGTCTGTCCTCCCCTCCCCCCTCACCACACAACAGTGGCTCTTGTCTCCCCAGCTACCTCCCCCCCCACCTCTCGCATCACCCTCACCGCGCCCCTCACCCACACGCACGAAGGCACGTCAGTTCCGGACGGTTTTGGTGGTACGGTGGACATTCGTGCTGAGGTGGCGCTGCTCGATAGGCAGATCGTCATCCAAGGCACGGACGAGCTGCCCCCACACCAATATGATGGTATGTCAATTAGGCATTTTTGGGCTTTTAACTAGGCACAGTACTCGTGAAGTCACTGTGGCACTAAAAAACACACACTCTTGTCATTCAGGGCACGGACAAGCTTCCTCCACACCAGTACGACGGTATGTGATGGGGGGGGGGGCACACTTGGGCTGTTAGTTAGGCCCCCCTTTTTAAGGCTGAAGGTTTGGACTGTCAGTGCGGCACACGCACGCTTGTCTTGTCATTCAGGGCACGGACAAGCTTCCTCCACACCAGTACGACGGTATGTGAGGGTCACACACGCTTGGGCTGTTGGTATAGGCTCTCACTGTGGCACACACGCTTGTCATCCAGGGCACGGACGAGCTGCCTCCTCACCAGTACGATGGTATGTGAGTGACGCACTTAGACTGTTAAGTAGGGATTTGATTTTTGAGTCGACTCAAAAATCAACTCGATTAGGCACGGTATTTGTGAGGTTCTCACTGTGGCAATGGCACACACACGCTTGTCATTCAGGGCATGGACGAGCCTGCTCCACACCAGTACGACGGTATGTCAGTCAGGGCACACTTGGGCTGTTAGGCATATCGCATTTGGCTCCTCACTTGGGCACATTCTTAGGCTGCTAGTCATTCAAGTGAGAGCCAATTGCTAGTTAGACACACGCTTGTCATTCAGGGCACGCACGGGCCTGCTCCACACCAATTCAGTCGGTGGTCGGTCGCTACCCTACCCCCTGCACTTGCTCGCCTGCAAGTTTTGAGACGTCTCAAAACTCGCCTGCAGCCTCCCTGTTGACTCTACTCACCACTCCCTGTTGAATAAACGCCCCCTTTTTCCACTTCATGTCCTATTTTCCGCTCCCCTCTACTCCCCTCAGTCCTGTCCCCTTTTCCTTTCCCCCTTGCCCTCACAACCCCAAACCCAGGCGGTCACTTGATGATGTATATGACTCGCACCCAGCAAGCCATCGAGGGGGTTCAGTTCCGAGGACTAGGCAACCAGGGCATGCTCAGCCGCTACCCGCTGCACTTCCACGTGTGCGGCCTCCCTCTCATCTCCTGTCATCCCGTCCTCTTCCCTTCTCCAGGCAGGCACTTCATGGTGTATATGACTCGCACTCCTCAAATCCATCGAAGGGGTTCAGATCCGCGGGCTGGGCAACCAAGGAACCCTCGGCCGCTACCCGCTGCACTTCCACGTGTGCGGGCTCCACGCGGATGCATCCCAGCCCACTCACCGCTGTTTGAGTTAAGGCCCCCTTTTCCCCTTCCTGTCTCCCCCCTGCTCTACCCCCTTCCTCTCCCCCTGTATTTTCCCCCTTCCTCTCACTACTTCAAACGCAGGCGGGCTCTTCATGGTGTACATGACTCGCACTCCTCAAACCGTTAAAGGGGTTCAGTTCAGGGGTCTAGGCAACCAAGGCACGCTCGGCCGCTACCCGCTCCACTTCCACGTGTGCGGCCTCCCTCTTGACGCATCCCAGCCATCGTGCGCAAGAACGCGATCGTGCACTCGAAGCAGCGGTGCATCCTCCTTTCCCCCTTCCTTTCCCCTCGTTGCCTTCCTCCCCCCCCACCAGGAGGGCACTTCATGGTGTATATGACTCCCACTCCTCAAATCATTGAAGGTGTTCAGTTCCGCGGACTGGGCAACCAAGGCACGCTCGGCCGCTATCCGCTTCACTTCCACGTGTGCGGCCTCCCTCTCGACGCATCCCAGCCGCACATCGTGCGCAAGAACGCGATCATATACTCAAAGCAGCGGTGCATGGTGATCCACGCGACCAGCAACATGAGCATAGAAGACAATGTGACATACGAGACCAAGGGACACTGTTACTTGGTTGAGGAGGGGTCTGAGATGGGGAACGTGTTTCGGAGGAACCTGGGGATGAGTGTGAGGGGCGTGGAGAAGGCGATTCCGCCGGATACGAGTGATCGGTATGGGTTTCACACGGACAAGCAGCCGAGCGTGTTCTGGATGGCCACTCCTTACAACTCTTTCTATGGGAACGTTGCTGCTGGGTCTGAGAACAGCGGGTGAGTTGAATTGAATATTCAGGAGTAGAGTGGGGCAAGATGTGTTGGTTCAGCACACCTCACCATTCCGCCGGATACAAGTGATCGGTATGGGTTCCACATGCACAAGCAGCCGAGCGTGTTCTGGATGGCCACTCCGTACAACTCTTTCTATGGGAATGTGGCTGTTGGGTCTGAGAACAGCGGTTGAGTGACTCGGATTGACCTGGTGGGATGCGCGTGAGGGGAGTGGAGAAGGTGATTCCACCGGATACAAGTGATCGGTATGGGTTTCACACGGACAAGCAGCCGAGCGTGTTCTGGATGGCGACGCCGTATAACAGCTTCTATGGGAACGTGGCTGCTGGTTCGGAGAACAGCGGGTGAGTTGAGAGGAGTAGAAAGGAGTTGATTAGAGTTGAGTGGAGAGTCTACGTTGGGTTTCACACGGACAAGCAGCCAAGCGTGTTCTGGATGGCGACACCCTATATTATAGGGCCTATAACAGCTTCTACGGGAACGTGGCTGCTGGGTCCGAGAACAGCGGGTGAGTGGAAATGAGTGTAGAGGGGGAAGTGGAGTGGAGTGGAGTAGGGTTGAGTCCAGCTGGGCTTCACACGGACAAGCAGCCGAGCGTGTTCTGTATGGCCACTCCCTACAATTCTTTTTACGGAAATGTGGCCGCTGGGTCCGAGAATAGCGGGTGAGTCTCAACTATTTCAGGGCACCTCACCATCCCTTTGACCTTGATGGACCGGTATGGGTTCCACACGCACAAGCAGCCGAGCGTGTTCTGGATGGCCACTCCCTATAACAGCTTCTATGGGAACGTGGCTGCTGGGGCAGAGAACAGCGGGTGAGTGGAGTGGAGTGGCCAAACCCACCATGCGGGGCATCTCACATCGGCTGCACTGTTCAGTCCTCCCTTCCTCTCACTATCTGCCTTGTCGCTCCCCCTTCTCTCTCCCGTCATCCCCCCAACTTCTTGCGTGGCATCTCGCGCCTGCTGCCCTGTTCAGGTCGCTCCTCCTCTCACGAACTTTCTCCTCGTCCTATCCCTCTCCCCTGTCAACCCCCAGCTTTTGGCTAGAGGCCAATCCCACCATGAGGGGCATATCCCGGCTACTGCCTGTCATCGGCAACAAACGGCCCGACAGGTGGGCGTGGGGGTTGTCACAAAGGCATGGAAGCACAGGGACTATGGGCATGGGCCCATGGTGGCATGAGGGCATGAGGGCATGTCCAGGGTAGAGGACGTCTTCAAAAAAAAAAAAAAAAAACACGTGGCTCTTAGGTTTCCACACCTGAACCTGAACTCTCGACTGATCCCTCCCTCCCCCCTCTCACAACCACAGATTCAACTGGGAAGAGTATGTGGGCAATGTGGCCCACTCCTCGCTCTTCGGCTTCCGCACATACCCCCACGGCTCACAGTCCCGCTTCCCCAACTACATGCCCCCTTCCCCCCCGCCACCTCACATCTACAGGTTCAACTGGGGAGAATATGTGGGTAACATGGCCCACTCCTCCCTCTTTGGCTTCCACACGTACCCCCACCCCACGGCTCACAGTCCCGCTTCCCCCTCTCACACATGCAGGTTCAACTGGGGGGAATACGTGGGCAATGTGGCCCACTCCTCGCTCTTTGGCTTCCGCACGTACCCCCACGGCTCACAGTCCCGCTTCCCCGACTACACTGGGGTGATCACTTACCTCAAAGACCCACTCTTCTACCGGAACAAAGCCGGGTGAGTGAAGCAGGAAGCACAAGAGTGCTCGCTTGTTCACAGCTTACCCTCACGGCTCACAGTCTTGCTTTTCCGACTACACGGGGGTGATCACTTACCTCAAAGACCCACTCTTGTACCGGAACAAGGCAGGGTGAGTGAGTGGAGCAAAAGAGCGCAATCGCCCATCTCTCGCTCTTCCACAGGGAAACCCACGGCTCACAGTCCCGCTTCTCGACTGCACTGGGGTGATCACATAATTCTTGGACTCGCTCTTTTATTGGAACAAGGCTGCGTAGGATGGTGGTGAGTGTGTAAAAAGCCACGTGAAAAAAGGAGTGTTTTGAGACGTCTCAAAACACTTTCGGATGGTGGTGAGTGTGTAAAAAGCTACCCTAACTACTCTGGGGGGATCACATACCTCAAAGACGCGCTCCTCCTTTTCCCAGTTCTTCTTCCTCCAGCATACTCTTTGTGAACACGGACTGCATAGTGGTGGAGAACGGTGCATTTGTGAGTCGACTCAACCCCACCTGTCCCTCCCATCGTCCCTTCATGACTTTCTGTTCTCTTCCCTCCCCGCCCTTTCCCCCCTCCATCCCCTCCCAGCATCCTCTTTGTGAACACGGATCGCATAGTGGTGGAGAACGGTGCATTTGTGAATTGACTCACACCCACCTGTCCCTCCCTCCCGTCGTCCCTTCTTGACTTTCTGTTCTCTTCCCTCCCCGCCCTTTCCCCCCTCCACCCCCCCCCCCCCCCAGCATCCTCTTTGTGAACACGGATCGCATAGTGGTAGAGAACGGTGCATTTGTGGAGAACGCGTATGGGATGGACATCAGTCGAAACGGTGGGGTGACAGTCAAGGGATGCCGATTCGTGGGCACTCTCCCCTCCACCTGCACGTAAGGGAAGGGAAGGGAGGGGAAGGGTGTACCTTTGACCCGCTTGAAAGCTGAAGGAAGGGAGTGAGTTCTATTTGCACCCAAGGAGAGCAGGTCACTCTGACCAGCATGTATGGGAAGGGAACGCGTACGGGATGGACATCAGTCGAAACGGAACTTGGCACCTCAAACTTGCACATCAAACTTGCACGTCAGTTGATTAGTGCAGGTGTAGGTATAGAGACAACAATCAAGATTATCCAAGCACTGGAAAATCTCATGTCACACAACAAAGCCCTATCTACCGATGAGCTAACAATCATATTAAAAGAAGAAACAATTGTTTGTGGATATCGTCGAGTTGATATCCTCGAGTAAATATCCTTGAGTGGATATTCTCGAGTGGATATCCTCGAGTGGCAATCCGCGAGCGGATATCATAAAGTGGATATCCTAGAGTGGATATCATCGAGTGCATATCTTCGCGTGGATATCCTCGAGCGGATATCCTCGAGCGGATATCCTCGAGCGGATATCCTCGAGCGGATATCCTCGAGCGGATATCCTCGAGCGGATATCCTCGAGCGGATATCCTCGAGCGGATATCCTTGGCGGATATCCTTGACGGATATCCTTGAGCGGATATCCTTGACGGATATCCTTGAGCGGATATCCTTGACGGATATCCTTGAGCGGATATCCTTGACGGATATCCTTGACGGATATTCTTGAGGGGATATCCTTGACGGATATCCTTGACTGGATATCCTTGACGGATATCCTTGAGCGGATATCCTTGACGGATATCCTTGAGCGGATATCCTTGAGTGGATATCCTTGAGCGGATATCCTTGAGCGGATATCCTTGAGCGGATATTCTTGCCGGATATCCTTGCCGGATATCCTTGAGCGGATATCCTTGACGGATATCCTTGACGGATATTCTTGAGGGGATATCCTTGACGGATATCCTTGACTGGATATCCTTGACGGATATCCTTGACTGGATATCCTTGACGGATATCCTTGAGCGGATATCCTTGAGCGGATATCCTTGACGGATATCCTTGAGCGGATATCCTTGACGGATATCCTTGAGCGGATATCCTTGAGCGGATATTCTTGCCGGATATCCTTGCCGGATATCCTCGAGCGGATATCCTTGACGGATATCCTTGAGCGGATATCCTTGACGGATATCCTTGAGCGAGGGAATATCCTTGACGGATATCCTTAAGGGGATATCCTTGACGGATATCCTTGAGCGGATATCCTTGACGGATATCCTTGAGCGGATATCCTTGAGCGGATATCCTTGACGGATATCCTTGAGCGGATATCCTTGACGGATATCCTTGAGCGGATATCCTTGACGGATATCCTTGAGCGGATATCCTTGACGGATATCCTTGACGGATATTCTTGAGGGGATATCCTTGACGGATATCCTTGACTGGATATCCTTGACGGATATCCTTGAGCGGATATCCTTGACGGATATCCTTGAGCGGATATCCTTGAGTGGATATCCTTGAGCGGATATCCTTGAGCGGATATCCTTGAGCGGATATTCTTGCCGGATATCCTTGCCGGATATCCTTGCCGGATATCCTCGAGCGGATATCCTTGAGCGGATATCCTTGAGCGGATATCCTTGACGGATATCCTTGAGCGGATATCCTTGACGGATATCCTTGAGCGGATATCCTTGAGCGGATATTCTTGCCGGATATCCTTGCCGGATATCCTTGCCGGATATCCTCGAGCGGATATCCTTGACGGATATCCTTGAGCGGATATCCTTGACGGATATCCTTGAGCGAGGGAATATCCTTGACGGATATCCTTGAGCGGATATCCTTGACGGATATCCTTGAGCGGATATCCTTGACGGATATCCTTGAGCGGATATCCTCGAGCGGATATCCTCGAGCGGATATCCTCGAGCGGATATCCTCGAGCGGATATCCTCGAGCGGATATCCTTGGCGGATATCCTTGACGGATATCCTTGAGCGGATATCCTTGACGGATATCCTTGAGCGGATATCCTTGACGGATATCCTTGAGCGGATATCCTTGACGGATATCCTTGAGCGGATATCCTTGACGGATATCCTTGAGCGGATATCCTTGACGGATATCCTTGAGCGGATATCCTTGACGGATATCCTTGACGGATATTCTTGAGGGGATATCCTTGACGGATATCCTTGACTGGATATCCTTGACGGATATCCTTGAGCGGATATCCTTGACGGATATCCTTGAGCGGATATCCTTGACGGATATCCTTGAGCGGATATCCTTGACGGATATCCTTGAGCGGATATCCTTGAGCGGATATTCTTGCCGGATATCCTTGCCGGATATCCTTGAGCGGATATCCTTGACAGATATCCTTGACGGATATTCTTGAGGGGATATCCTTGACGGATATCCTTGACTGGATATCCTTGACGGATATCCTTGACTGGATATCCTTGACGGATATCCTTGAGCGGATATCCTTGAGCGGATATCCTTGACGGATATCCTTGAGCGGATATCCTTGACGGATATCCTTGAGCGGATATCCTTGAGCGGATATTCTTGCCGGATATCCTTGCCGGATATCCTTGCCGGATATCCTCGAGCGGATATCCTTGACGGATATCCTTGAGCGGATATCCTTGACGGATATCCTTGAGCGAGGGAATATCCTTGACGGATATCCTTGAGCGGATATCCTTGACGGATATCCTTGAGCGGATATCCTTGACGGATATCCTTGAGCGGATATCCTTGAGCGGATATCCTTGACGGATATCCTTGAGCGGATATCCTTGACGGATATCCTTGAGCGGATATCCTTGACGGATATCCTTGAGCGGATATCCTTGACGGATATCCTTGACGGATATTCTTGAGGGGATATCCTTGACGGATATCCTTGACAGGATATCCTTGACGGATATCCTTGAGCGGATATCCTTGACGGATATCCTTGAGCGGATATCCTTGACGGATATCCTTGAGCGGATATCCTTGAGCGGATATCCTTGAGCAGATATCCTTGAGCGGATATTCTTGCCGGATATCCTTGCCGGATATCCTTGCCGGATATCCTCGAGCGGATATCCTTGAGCGGATATCCTTGAGCGGATATCCTTGACGGATATCCTTGAGCGGATATCCTTGACGGATATCCTTGAGCGGATATCCTTGAGCGGATATTCTTGCCGGATATCCTTGCCGGATATCCTTGCCGGATATCCTCGAGCGGATATCCTTGACGGATATCCTTGAGCGGATATCCTTGACGGATATCCTTGAGCGAGGGAATATCCTTGACGGATATCCTTGAGCGGATATCCTTGACGGATATCCTTGAGCGGATATCCTTGACGGATATCCTTGAGCGGATATCCTTGACGGATATCCTTGAGCGGATATCCTTGAGTGGATATTCTCGAGTGGATATCCTCGAGTGGCAATCCGCGAGCGGATATCATAAAGTGGATATCCTAGAGTGGATATCATCGAGTGCATATCTTCGCGTGGATATCCTCGAGCGGATATCCTCGAGCGGATATCCTTGGCGGATATCCTCGAGCGGATATCCTTGACGGATATCCTCGAGGGGATATCCTTGAGCGGATATCCTTGACGGATATCCTTGAGCGGATATCCTTGACGGATATCCTTGACGGATATTCTTGAGGGGATATCCTTGACGGATATCCTTAACTGGATATCCTTGACGGATATCCTTGACTGGATATCCTTGACGGATATCCTTGAGCGGATATCCTTGAGCGGATATCCTTGACGGATATCCTTGAGCGGATATCCTTGACGGATATCCTTGAGCGGATATCCTTGAGCGGATATTCTTGCCGGATATCCTTGCCGGATATCCTTGCCGGATATCCTCGAGCGGATATCCTTGACGGATATCCTTGAGCGGATATCCTTGACGGATATCCTTGAGCGAGGGAATATCCTTGACGGATATCCTTGAGCGGATATCCTTGACGGATATCCTTGAGCGGATATCCTTGACGGATATCCTTGAGCGGATATCCTTGACGGATATCCTTGAGCGGATATCCTTGAGTGGATATTCTCGAGTGGATATCCTCGAGTGGCAATCCGCGAGCGGATATCATAAAGTGGATATCCTAGAGTGGATATCATCGAGTGCATATCTTCGCGTGGATATCCTCGAGCGGATATCCTCGAGCGGATATCCTTGGCGGATATCCTTGACGGATATCCTTGAGCGGATATCCTTGACGGATATCCTTGAGCGGATATCCTTGACGGATATCCTTGAGCGGATATCCTTGACTGGATATCCTTGACGGATATCCTTGAGGGATATCCTTGAGTGGATATCCTTGACGGATATCCTTGAGCGGATATCCTTGACGGATATCCTTGAGCGGATATCCTTGAGCGGATATCCTTGACGGATATCCTTGACGGATATCATCGTGCAGAGTCTTCTCCAAAGTGTCGAGGAGAAGGTTGTAGTACGGCACGATGGTCGTTACCGTCGGGTACACAGATCCTTCGGCAGCCTTGGTGATGGCGTTGAAGGGCGCTAGGAACGCCTTCAACGCCACCCGTGCGTCCCAGTGGTCGTCAGTCAGCCGAAGGGAAGCGTACTTCTCCCTTTCTTTTTTTGATGAGCCCTGTGGTAGAGGGGGGTTTGCGTTGAAACGGATGGAGAGGGTGTAGTCACATTGGTTGGATGTAAATACAGTGCATCCTTGGCACGCAACGCAAACAAAAATGTACGCACATCAAACATGGTATAACCCTCGTCGACGTCGAACAGTCACCTGCACCTGGGAGAAGTGTGCGCTCAAAGGGCGACGAAGCCGCAGGGCACGTGCCACCATGGCGAAGGTGGACCCCCAGCGGGTCTCACAGTCCAGCACGAGCTTGACCTCCCTCATTGTGGGAAAGGAATCTCTCATCTCCTTCCTGAACCGCGCCATGCGCTTAGACGACAGGCCCACGAATTTGGCCGTCTTGCGGATGCGCTGCAGCGGAACCTTGACCGTCTCTACCGCGAGCGCCTTCTGGACAGCCAGGTTGATCACGTGCGCAAAACACCTGGTTGGAACGTAACAGACCATTAGGGGGTTTCGGCAGAACCTTGCAGGGTAATGCAACGTGTTTATGTCAATGCCAAGCACATGCAATCGCCCGCCCACCATTAACACATACCTGAACCACATGTCCTTGGAGATCAGTGGAAAGCGATCTCCATCGGCCGACAGCACCCTGATGGCCGCCTCGTTGCTCGAGGCGTTGTCGGTGGTGACACCATGACAACGCCCGACCAACCCCCATGCTCCAACCACTTCCTCGAACCGCTTAGCAATATCCTCCCCCGTGTGGCCCTCAGATATCTCGCTGAAGTCGATAGTGGCCTGGCGCAGCTGCCAATCTGACGAAATCCAGTGTGCGGTGACTACCATGTAACTGCGCCGGGCCGCAGACGACCTTGAACAGCGGCAGATCCCCCTCCTTCTCCAGCTCCAGCTCGGCCCTAGCCAACGCCCGTGCCATGTCCGCGTACCTCGACACGTCACGGGCCAACGTCCAGCGTGAAGGAATGACATTGTCCTTCCCACACGCAGAGTTGGCTACAGTCAACATCTCCTTGAACTGTATGTACATTCAAGGGATTTGTGGAAGGAAGGATCACGACATGAATATGCTTTGTGGTGAAGAGAGAAGCGGTGATGGGGATGTAGCGGTGGAACATACGAAGAGCTAGATAACGTCGGGCAGTGCAAATCACAGCACAACGCAAGAGTACAGTGCAATCCTTACCGCGTCACTGTCAACAATACGGTAGGAGCTGTCGGCCATCACAATGAACTTGACGATGGCTGCTCGCAGTTCTCGGACCGACACCCGCGGAGTCATAAACTGTTCCATCGTCGCCTGCCCCCCGCCCAGTGCAGCCACCCCTCCTACAAGCGCCTCGGGGGGAACGTTAGGGTACGCCTCCGCATAGTGCCACTCCTCGCCACTGTGCGGCACCCCAGGATAGCCACCGTCGGGGAAGGTTACATCCGCGGGAACCAAGCCCCCCTCGTACATCCGCTTCCAAATGGCGTAGTGGGCGTTATGCTTCCCCTCGTAGTGCCGCCCGCCGGACCGTGTGCTGCTATCCTTGAAAGAGATTCGGGTGGGGCAACACTTGCACTTGCGCGTCTCGTCGGCCGCCAGCTCCCCAAACATCTTAACCACAGTGTACTTAACCCATCGCGGATTTGTACTCCTCCTCTTCCCTTTACGCTTCTTCCCCACCCGCCCCTCTTGAACTCCACCCACCTCCTTGGCTCCCGCCCTCCCTTTACCCTTCTTCTTACTATTTCCCCCTTTCGCACGTTCCCTCTTTTTCTTCGAAGCGCCCTTGGATGACTCAGGCTCAAGATCCGCCATATCCTCGTCCTCACTACCGCCATCCGCCTCATCATCCTCGTATTCCGACTCACTCCCCTCATCCGACGAGTCACTGCCAGAGGAAGAAGAGGATGAGGATTCTTCTTCCTCTTCGCTAGCCGCCTCGAGTTCCCGCTCTTTGCCGACAACGCCAACCACCTGTCGCAACTCTCCGTGTGCGTTGAAACCGTCACCGTTTGAAGGGAGCACAATGGGCGCGGTCCCTATAGCGGAGAATATTTTACCGCCCTCGCGCTTAATTTTCTTCGCGCCCTTGTGCTCGCCGGTTTTCTTAGGCGCCATAGGTTTAAACCGACGGTAGGATTTTATAACTTAGATCACGAAAATGGGTAGTGGTATTTCGGATTTAGGCTGTCCTGGAAATAGTAACCCTAATAGATAGCTAATGTCAGGCGAAAAGCTCTAATGATTCAACGGTAGAATAAGGATAACCGTTGAAGTTGTTGCGACGCAATGAAAAATAAGTTAAATAGTGTAACCCTAAAAGAAGGACCAAACGTCCGCAGGTTTTGCGGTGTACGAAATCATCCGTCAACCTGTCGCGCCAAAGTCACGAAGCCCTTAGAGCCCATCAGCTAGGGTGTTTTGACCTACTTAAGCGACTATGTAAACCTACTACTAATGTTGGCGTAGGCTAGTCGAGAAGCAGAGCGCTAAGGGCTGGTAGGGGTTTCGAGAAATCGAACTGCACAAATGCCGTGCAGCTAACATTTTGACCCCCGCGACAAATTGTCGCGAGGGTAAAATCCGGCCCGGCCCGGCCCGTACATGGGCGGGCCAAAAAGCGGGCGGTCGCGGCTCGGCGGGCGGGCCCGGCCCGGCCCGCCCCGGGCCCTCGAGGAAATTTCGACGCCCGGCCCGGGGAATTTCCGGGCGGGCCCGACCCGGGCGGGCCCTGGCCCGCCCTGGTGCTCATCCCTACTTGACGGATATCCTTGAGCGGATATCCTTGACGGATATCTTTGAACGGATATCCTTGAGCGGATATCCTTGACGGATATCCTTGAGCGGATATCCTTGACGGATATCTTTGAACGGATATCCTTGAGCGGATATCCTTGACGGATATCCTTGAGCGGATATCCTTGACGGATATCCTTGAGCGGATATCCTTGACGGATATCTTTGGACGGATATCCTTGAGCGGATATCCTTGACGGATATCCTTGAGCGGATATCCTTGACGGATATCCTTGAGCGGATATCCTTGACGGATATCCTTGAGCGGATATCCTTGACGGATATCCTTGAATGGATATCCTTGAGCGGATATCCTTGAGGAATATCCTTGAGCGGATATCCTTGACGGATATCCTTGAGCGGATATCCTTGACGGATATCCTTGACAGATATCCTTGACGGATATCCTTGACAGATATCCTTGACGGATATCCTTGAGCGGATATCCTTGACGGATATCCTTGAGCGGATATCCTTGAGTGGATATCCTTGAGGGATATCCTTGACGGATATCCTTGAGCGGATATCCTTGACGGATATCCTTGAGGGGATATCCTTGATGGATATCCTTGAGCGGATATCCTTGACAGATATCCTTGAGCGGATATCCTTGAGCGGATATCCTTGGCGGATATCCTTGGCGGATATCCTTGGCGGATATCCTTGAGCGGATATCCTTGACGGATATCCTTGAGCGGATATCCTTGAGCGATATCCTTATGCGGATATCCTTGGCGGATATCCTTGAGCGGATATCCTTGGCGTATATCCTTGAGCGGATATCCTTGACCGATATCCTTGGCGGATATGCTTGAGGGGATATCCTTGACGGATATCCTTGAGCGGATATCCTTGGCGGATATCCTTGGCGGATATCCTTGGCGGATATCCTTGGCGGATATCCTTGAGCGGATATCCTTGAGCGGATATCCTTGGCGGATATCCTTGGCGGATATCCTTGAGCGGATATCCTTGAGCGGATATCCTTGGCGGATATCCTTGGCGGATATCCTTGAGCGGATATCCTTGGCGGATATACTTGGCGGATATCCTTGAGCGGATATCCTTGAGCGGATATCCTTGAGCGGGTATCCTTGGCGGATATCCTTGGCGGATATCCTTGAGCGGAATATCCTTGGCGGATATCCTTGGCGGATATCCTTGGCGGATATCCTTGGCGGATATCCTCGACGGATATCCTCGAGCGTATATCCTCGACGGATATCCTCGAGCGGATATCCTCAGCGGATATCCTCAGCGGATATCCTCGACGGATATCCTCGACGGATATCCTTGACGGGATATCCTTGACCGGATACTATGTGACGGAAGACGCGTCTAGCGTCTTAGACGGTTGCGTCTAGACGCAGCGTCTAAGACGCTAGACGCATTTCAGGCCAGATTAGACGCATATTAGACGAAAACCCGGGCAGGCCTAAAAAAAACGTCCGGGCAGCGAAAAAAACCCTCTTATAGGGCGTGGTGAGGGCGGGGAGAAGGACATTGCACACATTTTGGCAAAACGGTTGAGGGTTTCTGAAGGAGATTTGAGTTAGTGTGTAAACCCCAAGGTTTTTTGAAGGAGAATTGAGTTGGACTAGATATGAGGAGCACAGATGAGGTGGCTGTGCTCCTACATGCCAAAGGGTGGTCCACAAAGACCTTTGAGGTTGCAATTTGGGTTGGGGGGTAAAAAAAGTTGGTTGGTTGGGCTGTTTTCATTGTCAAAATGGGTGGGAGGGGGTTCAAATGTTGCGAAATTGTACTTCCCGTCGAAATCGCGAAGTCCAATTTCGGCCGCACGAATATTTTTTTTTCGGGCTGACCGAAAAAATTTTACCCAAGCGTCTAGCGTCTAAGCATGCGTCTAGCGTCTAGCGTCTAGACGCTGCGTCTAGACGCTAGACGCAAGACACGTCTTGCGTCTTCCGTCACGTAGACCGGATATCCTTGAGCGGATATCCTTGACGGATATCCTTGAGCGGATATCCTTGACGGATATCCTTGAGCGGATATCCTTGTCGGATATCCTTGAGAGGATATCCTTGAGTGGATATCCTTGACGGATATCCTTGAGCGGATATCCTTGAGCGGATATCGTTGACGGATATCCTTGAGCGGATATCCTTGACGGATATCCTTGACGGATATCCTTGAGCGGATATCCTTGAGCGGATATTCTTGACGGATATCCTTAGCGGATATCCTTGAGGGGATATCCTTGAGGGGATATCCTTGAGCGGATATCCTTGACGGATATCCTTGAGCGGATATCCTTGACGGATATCCTTGAGCGGATATCCTTGAGCGAATATCCTTGACGGATATCCTTGAGCGGATATCCTTGACGGATATCCTTGAGCGGATATCCTTGAGCGGATATCCTTGACGGATATCCTTGAGCGGATATCCTTGAGCGGATATCGTTGACGGATATCCTTGAGCGGATATCCTTGACGGATATCCTTGACGGATATCCTTGAGCGGATATCCTTGAGCGGATATTCTTGACGGATATCCTTAGCGGATATCCTTGAGGGGATATCCTTGAGGGGATATCCTTGAGCGGATATCCTTGACGGATATCCTTGAGCGGATATCCTTGACGGATATCCTTGAGCGGATATCCTTGAGCGAATATCCTTGACGGATATCCTTGAGCGGATATCCTTGACGGATATCCTTGAGCGGATATCCTTGAGCGGATATCCTTGACGGATATCCTTGACGGATATCCTTGAGCGGATATCCTTGAGCGGATATCCTTGACGGATATCCTTGAGCGGATATCCTTGACGGATATCCTTGAGCGGATATCCTTGACGGATATCCTTGAGCGGATATCCTTGAGCGGATATCCTTGAGCAGATATCCTTGAGCGGATATCCTTGAGCGGATATCCTTGACGGATATCCTTGAGCGGATATCCTTGGCGGATATCCTTGGCGGATATCCTTGAGCGGATATCCTTGACGGATATCCTTGAGCGGACGGATATCCTCGAGCGGATATCCTTGAGAGGATATCCTTGAGCGGATATCCTTGACAGATATCCTTGACGGATATCCTTGAGCAGATATCCTTGACGGATATCCTTGAGCGGATATCCTTGACGGATATCCTTGACGGATATCCTTGAGCGGATATCCTTGAGCGGATATTCTTGACGGATATCCTTAGCGGATATCCTTGACGGATATCCTTGAGCGGATATCCTTGAGCGGATATCCTTGACGGATATCCTTGAGCGGATATCCTTGAGGGATATCCTTGACGGATATCTTTGACGGATATCCTTGACGGATATCCTTGAGCGGATATCCTTGAGGGGATATCCTTGACGGATATCCTTGAGGGGATATCCTTGAACGGATATCCTTGACGGATATCCTTGAGCGGATATCCTTGACGGATATCCTTGAGCGGATATCCTTGACGGATATCCTTGAGCGGATATCCTTGACGGATATCCTTGAGCGGATATCCTCGATGGATATCCTTGAGCGGATATCCTCGACGGATATCCTTGAGCGGATATCCTTGACGGATATCCTTGAGCGGATATCCTTGACGGATATCCTTGAGCGGATATCCTTGAGCGGATATCCTTGACGGATATCCTTGAGCGGATATCCTTGAGCGGATATTCTTGACGGATATCCTTAGCGGATATCCTTGACGGATATCCTTGAGCGGATATCCTTGAGCGGATATCCTTGACGGATATCCTTGAGCGGATATCCTTGAGGGATATCCTTGACGGATATCCTTGAGCGGATATCCTTGACGGATATCCTTGAGCGGATATCCTTGAGGGGATATCCTTGACGGATATCCTTGAGGGGATATCCTTGAACGGATATCCTTGACGGATATCCTTGAGCGGATATCCTTGACGGATATCCTTGAGCGGATATCCTTGACGGATATCCTTGAGCGGATATCCTTGACGGATATCCTTGAGCGGATATCCTCGATGGATATCCTTGAGCGGATATCCTCGACGGATATCCTTGAGCGGATATCCTTGACGGATATCCTTGAGCGGATATCCTTGACGGATATCCTTGAGGGGATATCCTTGAGGGATATCCTTGAGGGATATCCTTGACGGATATCCTTGACAGATATCCTTGACGGATATCCTTGACGGATATCCTTGAGCGGATATCCTTGACGGATATCCTTGAGCGGATATCCTTGAGGGGATATCCTTGAGCGGATATTCTTGACGGATATCCTTGAGCGGATATCCTTGACGGATATCCTTGACGGATATCCTTGAGCGGATATCCTTGAGCGGATATCCTTGAGCGGATTTCCTTGACGGATATCCTTGAGGGGATATCCTTGAGCGGATATTCTTGACGGATATCCTTGAGCGGATATCTTCGAGCGGATATCCTCGAGCGGATATCCTCGAGCGGATATCCTCGAGCGGATATCCACTCTTGGCCCTTGTCCCTTTGTCCCCCTGTCTCACTCTCCCTTCGTCTCTATCCATTGGTTCCTTTGTTCCGCTCTCACCCTGCCCGCCTATCTCTCTGCCCCTCTGTCGCCCTGTCCCTCTTTCCCTCTGTCCCCGTGTTCCCAGTGCCAAAGCCATGACTGCCATTCGCAGCAGCAGCAGCCCCAGGAGCAGCAGAAGCAGCAGCAGCACCAAGAGCATGAGCCTCGCCAGCAGCAGTATCACCAACAAGAGCAACCAGCCTTCAGCCACAGCAGCAGCAGCAACAGCAGCAACAGTCTCTACCCTCAGAAGCAGCGGCAGTACCAAGAGCATGAGCCTCACCAGCAGCAGTATCACCAACCAGAGCAACCAGCCTTCAGCCACAGCTCCTGCCCCTCTCTCTCTTTCTTTCCAGGGTCCGACCACTGACTGGGAACCGCCTGGAATGGCTGATGCTATCAAGCCATGGGCTGAGTTCCTTTATCCCTTCCCCAGTGACGATGGTGACTATAGTGAGGATGGGGGTGACTACGATGATTATGGGGATTATGGCGGGGGTGGTGGGGGGGGTGGGACTGGTAGTAGCAACAGCACAGGCAGTGGCAGTGGTAGCAGCAGCAGCAACAGCATAGGCAGCAGCACAGGCATCAGCAGCGGAGAGGCGGAGGCAGCATACAACATCACAGCAGGGGAGGTGCCACCATGGGCCGAGAGCTTCTGGCTGGGCTACTGGTCCCAGGGGGATGGGGGTCCCATCGCTGCTGCCGCTGCTGCTGCTGCTGCTGCTGACGGGACGTCGAGTGCAATCAGCAGCAGCAGTGGTGGTGCCACAGAAGGAGATAGGAGATGGTTCCTTTGACTCGCCCATTGGAGTCACGCTGAGCCAGAGCAACCCTGCTGACATCCTGCGCCCGTCCTCCGTGGAAGATTCCTTGTAAGCTGCTGTGTTGAGAGCTGGTAGTACGCAATTTTTCGGATGGTGTTCTTTCTCCTCTGTTATTTCCCATCCCCCGCTTGACCAACCCACCTCCCTCACGTCTCCTTCGCATCTCCTTTTTCAACCCCCCCTTTTCGACTCCCTTTTCGTGTGGCCCCCATCAGCTTCTCTGGCTATCGCACATGCACCACTAATAGCTCTGGCATCGCTTTTGTAACCAACAACTCACCCTTTTCCAGCCAACCACAACCATCCCCCTCCGTCCCATGTCTCCCCAATCTGTCAGCTTCTCAGGCTACGGCACCTGCACCACTAGTAGCTTCGGCATCGCTGTTGTGACCAACAAGCCGCTATCAAACTCCTAACACCTTCCCCATCCTCCCACTTCCCTCCCTCACCTTTCCCCCATCAGCTTCTCAGGCTATGGAACATGCACCACTAATAGCTTCGGCATTGCTCTCGTGACCAACACGCCACCCAAAAAACTCCTTACACCTTCCCCGTCCTCTCACGCCCCTCACTCACTTCCCCTCTTGTTCAGCTTCTCAGGTTATGGCACATGCACCACAGCTACCTCCGGCATTGCTCTCGTGACCAACAACTCGCCCCTTTCCAAGCCAACCCCCTCCGTCCCATGTCCCCCTTTTTCTTCAGCTTTTCAGGCTATGGCACATGCACCACTGGCAGCTATGGCATCGCTCTCGTGACCAACAAGCCGGGAGGCTACTGGAACACGGCCTTCTTTGTGCAGGTGTGTATGCCACTATCAGCTCGCTGTTGTGACCAGGGTTGAGCAAACACATGTAATGTGTACTCGTTCATAATCCTCCCCGCTCTCCTTCCCCTCCCTTCCTCTCACTTCCCCTTCCATCCCTCCCTTCCCCTTCCTGCCCCTCCCTTCACCTCACTTCCTCTCCCTTCTCTCCCTCCCTTCCTCTCCATTCTCTCCCTTCCCCTCCCTTCCGCTGTTTTCCCTTTCTCTTCCGTTCGCTGTCATCAAATCCTTCTCCTCACAGAACAACTCATTCGCGTCGGGCAGCAAGAGATTCTGGGCAACGCCAAACTTTCTCTCTCTTTCCTCCCTTTCCTCTCTTCCCCTCCCATCCCCCCCCTTCGATGTCCCCCTCAATCTTTCCCGCTCACAGAACAACTCATTCGCGTCGGGCAGCAAGAGATTTTGGGCCACGCCGAACCCGGTAGGAACCCGTCTGTCTGTCAGCATGTGGTGTAAATGTTTTGTACATGGTGGTAAACGTTCTCTGTGTGGTGTAAAGGTTTTTTTTTCTAAGGTGGTAAACGTTCTCTATGTGGTGAAAGTGTTTTTATCATTTCATTGCTGGAAACATCGAATTGAGTTTCCACACTCTCATGGATGACAATGATTCCTCGGCACGCCTGTGAAGACTTTTGAGGCG